TTCAAGGCATGAAGGCAACAGCCCTCACACGTCGCTTACCTATTTAGCAACTGGTGTCACCATGATCAGAGGCTGCAGGGGCAGCTGTTGTGGCTCAGTCAGGTCTAAGCTGACTGTGGAAGACTGGGAGACATTTGCACCTGAGATGGTTGTAGAGAGGAACCTCCCAGATAACCAGAGCTGGTAGGGCCATTCCCTGGACCCTCAGGGGTTCCCCTGAGCCTGAAGCTCCAGATGCCTCCCACTGCGCATCACCAGGAGGGAGGCTGTAGTATGGAGGGAGTGCCCATCTTCAGGCCAGAGGGTTGGCCCTCTGAAGTTCTCTCAAGGGAGTGGAGCCTGGAAGAGGGAGGCACAGGCATTAAAGGCCTCAATCTGCTCTCAAGCTTTGTGTAAGCAAGCTGCTCATTTGGAGCTGTCCATGGTCTTCCAGCCTTGGTGCTTTTCCTTTCCGTTCCAGTGTCAGACCAGAACATGACAGGTGTTCAGATACCTTGCCTAGGGACATGAAGGTTCCATATGGGCACCACAGCTAGCGGCCTTTGATAAACCCATTCTTCATGAATTTGTCACATTCCCTATTGAAAGGGAAAAAGCTTGACAAGAGGAGCATTACGGAACACCACTTAAGTTTCCAGCTTTTATTTTCATTAACATCATAAGCAGAGGAGCAATCCAAGTTGTTGTTTTACTGGTGAGTTGTCCTTCCTGTGCCTACTCTGGTTTGTCCTTCAGAAAAGCTTCATGCTGAGAATCTCCATGGTCACAGTTTAGATTTAATCCATAGTGATGTACCTGGTTCCCAAGTGCGGCAATTACCAGCTGTCTCCAGTTTCAGATGTGGCCTTGCTGTGTTTGTTGTGCTGGTTCTTTTTGCTCCGGAGTGGAGAGGTGTTTAACACAAGAGAAGAAGCAGTGTCTTGGGATGCTAGGTGCATTTACTCAGAGGCAAGTCTCACTGGGGTGGCCAACTGGTGCTTGCCCTGCTTCTATCCAGACTCCAGGTGGGGCTCATATGCTCGAAAAGTTGCTGCATAACAAAATGCAAAACAAAAATAAAATCCTGCATGTAGAAAACTAGGAGAAGTGGCTAGTCTCCAAACCCTGAGTCACTAGCTTGTTAAGTGCAGGGAACATGTGTGGTGTTACAGAGGAGCATCATGTGAGCCCTCACATAAAGTGGGAGACTCAGACACATATTGCCCACCTCAGTGAGAACTAGGAGCTTAGTTCAATGGAGCATAGTGCCATGTACAGTCATACATCAGGTTACAGCCGCTTCAGGTTGCATTTTTTCGGGTTGTGGACCACCGAAACAGGAAGTACTGGAATGGGTTACTTCTGGGTTTCGGGCATCGCACATGTGCAGAAGCGCTAAATCACTCTTAGTGCATTTACAGAAGCGCCGAATCGCAATCCGTGCGTGCACAGACGTGCAGACACAGGTTGTGAATGTGCATCCTGCACGGCGCACGTTCGCAACCCAAGCGTCCACTGTAGATGTGTGGTTTGGCCTTGTGTGGACTTGATCTTGCATGTTTTTTTTCCAGAATTCAGATTGCCTCAGTAGAGGATTTGGGAGCGTTTGGATGGATTTCTTTCTCTCTAACTCATATATTTAACCTGTGGAGAAACAGAGTGGATGAAAGGACTTTTCTCTAGAGAGGGGTAAAGGGGGCCGTGAACACATGGCTTTAGGGAAAGCAAGAAGAGACAGCATGAGTGGTTACTGGTGCCTTGGTGTGGGAGGAAACTAGCTTCTCTCTCTCTCTCTCTCTCTCTCTCTCTCTGTGTGTGTGTGTGTGTGTGTGTGTGTGTAAGAAAAGGTGAGTCACACAATACAGAAAAATCATACAGGCTTATTGAGAGGCCCCTCTCTTTAAAAGCAGCCTTGGGCGACAGTGAAAGTGAAGGCCACTTAGTCTCCCAGAACAAAGAGTGGTGAACAAAGGAGGCTGTGTGCTAATGGGTCTTTCTCAGCCAAGCTGGACTGCAAGAAGCCCAGCAGCTGCAAGTGGAAGCCAGGTAATGTGGTTGTATTTGCATAACCTCAGGGTGAGCTGCAAACCCTAATGGACTGTGCATGACCTTACCTTGATGGATTCCCTTCTGGGGTGGGGGCAGAAGCCCTGTGCACCTCAAGTGGACCATCATGCAGGAATAAGGAAGCCCTTACTTAAAAATATGGAACTCATTCCCAGATGATGTGGTGACAGCCACCAACTTGAATGACATTAGAAGAGGATTGGACAAATCCATGTTGGTAACTACTAGGCACATTGGCCATACTGTTTCTCCGCAATCAGACAGTATGCTGGGAATTGCTATTAGGGAAGAGTGCTGTTGCACTCATGTCCTGCACCCCAGAGGCATCTGGTTGGCCACTGCGAGAGCAGGATAGGAACATGAGAGGCTGCCTTGGTCCATCTAGCTCAGCATTGTCTATGCTGACTGGCAGTGATTCTCCAGGATTTCATAGAGGGTACACTCCCACTCCTTTCTGGAGATGCCAGGGATTGAACCTGGGATGTTCTGCATGCAAAGCAGATGCTTTACTACTGAGGTATGCGCCTTCCCCAAATGGACACTGCTAGGTGGGTCTTTGGCCTAATCCAGCTGGAGTCTTCAAACATTCTGTCCACCTTGTACAGAATCCTACTCCCTACTGCTGTGCACAAGAACCCCTGTTTGAAGTCTATGATCGTAGTGAATTGTGTGAATGACCCCTTTGATTGCCTGCTGTGCAATGTTGCCTGGCCTGCTGCTCAGGCTGGAGCAACCTTGCCTCCTCTGCATCTTCAATTTTCAGGGGGCTGAGCCCCCTGCTAAGGAATATTGAGGGGGCTGATGACACCTCTGACCCCTAGAGTTTCCTCGGTCTAGCATACCAGCATCTGTTCATTTTTTGCTCTGGGATTAATAGCAGTTTTGGTGAAGAACCCCTGTTTGAAGTCTATGATTGTGTGAATGCCCCCTTTGAGTTCCTCAGCTCTGTGTGAGATGAGTCCTTTATTGCCTTGCTGGCTCTGGAATCAATGCCACCTCTCCATTGGAATGAATGGAACCTTTTCAGACACTACAGTTTGGCTGGAGAGGATAGAAGCCCCCCCCCCCCCCGCAGCTGCGTCACACTTTGCCTGTGGCAAATGGCACGGCCTGATACTGGAATTTCTGTGTCTGCCATCTGTATGGAAAGGGAAGCTGAAGTGTGTGTGTGTGTGTGTGTGTGTGTGTGTGTAGAAGAAGAAGAGAGCGGAATCTATTGTGGAAACTGGTATCGGCCTCGGGAGAAGACAGCCTTCCTCCAAGGGGTCTCTTCTTCACACACACCAAATTTCATTCTTACAACAAGACTGTGAGGTAGGCTATGCCAAGAGTTGGTGATTAATACAAGCTGTCCCAGAGTGGGTATTTGAATCCAGGTCTTCCTGGCCTTAAATCCAGCCCTCAGCACATTTTTATTTGATCCTTGGCCTAACTTCATGCAGGTGAGAAGGAGGGGGCTGTGGGAGAGAGGAAAAGGTGTGCCATGCCCACTGCGAGCAAGCACGGCCACCAGGTAACACTCAAGGGAATGTAGGCTGCAGCAGAAAGACAGTTCCTCATCTCTACCTTGCCCTGCTGCCCTGCAATGGCATTCTAGCACCACTGATTTTTAAAGTTCCACAATTTCCCCCTTTTATCTAAGTTTCTTGTTCCTGGGATAAGCCTTGGGTCTCTTGTAGGATATCCGAGGAGAGAAAGCAGAAAAAGAGTGTTACAATCAAATTGGGTTGGGAATCTTTTTCACCCTGGGGGGCCTCATTCCATTCTAGGCAGCCTTCCCAGGGCCACCAGGGATGGACAGAGCCAGAGGCAAAAACAGACCGAGCAATGAATGTAGGTTTTACCTTTGTTCAGTAGGCTAGTTTCTATGCACAATCATCCTTCTCTATTGTAAGAGCAATTCTCAGAATTCAAGGACGCAGCCAGGACATGCGGGGGCGACTCAAGAAGGATGCAAAGCAAGGCCACTGAAGGGGGTGGACTGGGGAGATTTCTGAGGGCCACACAGAATGGCCTGAGAGTCCATGCCAGGGGTCAGCAAACGTTTTCTGCAGGGGCTGGTCCACTGTCCCTCAGACCTTGTGGGGATGGGCGATATTTTTTTGGGGGGGGAATCCCCCCACGACTCTCCCCTCCCTTCTCCACAGCACTGGACGAGCCCCGGTGGCTGCTTACCTGTGCCTTGTGAGCGGCAGGGGCTGGCAGTGGCAGCAGCGGGACGATGAGCGGCACGAAAGGGCTGGCATCGGAGAGGGGCTGCTCTGCTTTAAATGGTGCTCAGCCAACTGCGGCTCCTGTGCCTTGCAAGCAGCATGGGCTGGCAGCAGTGGCAGTGGAGGGACGATGAGCGGCACAAAAGAGTTGGCTCTGGAGAGGGGCTGCTTAAAATGGCGCTCAGCCAACCATGGCTCAACAAAGCCCAGCCCCCTTCCTCCTCTAGGCAGGGCAGGGAGAAGCAAGGAGGAGGGAGGGAGGAGGCGCCGCTGTAGTGGGGGGGGGGGAATGGCGCAGCCTGAACAATCAGAATCCCCACAGCGATCCACATGGCGATTCCCGGACCGTCCATGGGCTGGATCCAGAAGGCAATTGGGCCAGATCCGGCCCCTGGGCCTTAGTTTGCCGACCCATGGTCCATGCCCTTGTGCTGGAGTGTCAGGCTAGGGTTCATGACATTAAGCTCTCCAGCTAGCCAAAACCTGGAAATCTATTTCCTGGAAAACCAACACTGTCAACCACTTTTGCTGTTTTCTCTCAGTGCTGTCTCCAGGGACATCCTGTGTTTGCTGACTGCCATCCCTCGCAAGGAGGGGGCAGTTGGGGCATGTCTTACTGGCCAACAGAAATGTTAACCATTGAATGAAAAGGCCAAAAAAAGGGTTCTTTGAGAAAAATATGAGCCAACTTTCCTGACTGCCATTCAAACTCTCTCTTGTCTTACCCCCCCCCCCCTACAGCCTGGGGGCAGGATCTGTGGAAGTGCTGAATGAAACTGCAATGTGACCTACTTTTTTTCCAAGGCTTGTACCACCCCCTGACACCCCTCAACTCTTTGCAGAAGCAACGATGAAACGGCGCAAGTGAGTCTCGCTCCCGCCTTGTTCCCCCTCTTCCCCGGGAGGTTATTCCACCACGCCACCCTGCATCAATCTGCCTTATCAGTGACCGCGGGGATGTCCAATGCAGCAAGGGATGACTTTGAAGCACAACACCTCCACCTGCAGGAGGAGGAGGAGGAGGAAGATGAGCTCGAGAGGCGTGCAGATCTGGACGGAGACCCCAGTGTGGGAAGAAGCAGGCTTGTGGGGAGCCTGGATCGGCAGGGTGTCTCTTCTCCTCAGGAGATCCTGGAGGATGTTGAACATCTGGAAGAGCTTAAGAGCAACCAGGAATTTTTGGCAGAACACAACTGGGGGTCTGACTTGGGTGAACGTCAGGATTTCAAATGTGCAGGGGCAACCAGCCCTGGGAATCCTTCAGACCGACACAGTGAGTAGCACAGGAGATCTGGTTGACCCTTCTCTACGAACTTGGCCAACTGAGTGGAAGTAGATTATGACCAGTAGGAGGCTTGCCTATTAGGGCAAATGGGGCACTGTCCCACCACCCTCAGTGAGTCCTCAGCCAGTCTGAACCTGCCTCCCTTCTTACTTACATCCAGTCCAGGGGGTGGTCCAGCCTGCCAACTTCCTCCTCCTTAGTCTCAAGTGATGTCCTTTGTAGAACTCAGCAGGGAGGAGGAAGAGAGGGACAAAGCTAGAATTAGTTGACTCCAACTCCCTACAGTCCACCCTATCAGCACCCATGAACACTACGCCACCCGTGTCTCAACATGGGACAAGAGAGGCAGCTGAGTAAGGTTATCAGTGGTTTTGGAGCCACAGTGCCCTTTAACTTCCTACTGTTACTAGCAAAACCAGAATGAGAGATGCAAAATGCACATGGTTTTTGCAAATTTGCATAATTTACACAGATGTCAGAAACTCAGCTGTGGCTGGCATGGAATTTGTGTGGAGTTTTAATGTTGTGAAATATACACACTGAGGCCAAATGCCAGTTCTCACACTTCTCAGATCTTCTGGATGATGAAGCTGGGGATGAGATAGTTGTTTACCACATGGCACATAACGTGGAGAAAATGAACAGAGGTTTTTTTGTTTTCTTCCATAATGCTAGAACTCAGGCTCATTGGATTAAGGACAGACAAAAAGATGGGCACATAATACATTATTGAGTTATGGAACTCCCCGTCACAAATGTGGTGATGGCAGTCTGGTTCAGATGGTTTTGAAATTAGGTGCATTCATGTATGCCAGATCTGTCAATGTCAATGGGGCACAAAAGGTAGAGTGAACCTTCATGTTCAGGGGTGGTATACTTCTGAATGCCACTTTCTATGAGCAGCAGGGAGGAGGGCTGCATACATTACTCTCCCCTTTTCCATTTTATCTCCACAACAACCCTGAGAGGTAGGTTAGGCTGAGCAACAGTGACTGGCTCAAGTTTCCGCAGAGTCAGCAAGAGGGTGTGGGGTGGGATGAATTAATTGTGCCAGTGGTTGTGCTCTAGGTAGGACTAACATTGAATACAACCCTTATGTTTGATGAGGAAAGGATCTAAAGGCCTTCCTGAAATTTTGGTAAAGTCGTGAGGTCTTAAATGGAATTACTCTGAGCTCCTGGAAGGGGTCTAGGACTTTTAATCTAATTTAGTATTTTAATGCCTGCCTTCTGCATTAAGCTACATGATCAAAAGTAGGATATATTTAAGCATTCTCTTCTTACTTCCCCACAGAACATCTAGAGGACAATGGAAGCCCCAATGATCAAGGTCCGATTTCCTACTGGCATCCACAGAGAGACCAACTTTTGGGTGCCCCAGAAGATGACCAGGATCCAGGCAGCTCCCAAGATCTGGAGAAACAAGCAGGGGAGTTGGATGCTAGCAGTGAGGGAGAGACCTACCCAGAGCTCTCATATGAGGTCCAGTACGGCTCAGAGTATAGCACCAGTCCCGAGGCACTGAGAGACCCACAGGCCTTGTACAAGAGCAGCAAATCCTACAGTTTTATCTCAGAAGGTGGAGGAGAGTTTTCTGATAACTCCAACCTCAGTGCCTCTCCTTCCAGGCCTCCTCTGGAATGCACCCTCTTGAAAACAGATGCCTATGAGCTTGGCAAGACTCAGAAGTTTCCAGAGGAAATGGCACTTCCTTCCCCATCAAGGAGAAGTCCTCATGGCAGCTCTTTTGGGGGTTCCATGGGCAGCAGTCATAGCCCCTCGTTTGTAGACCATGTTCCAAATTTTTCCAGCATTGAAGCTGAGACCTTACCAGAATCCTCCTTTATAGAGAACCTGGGCCACCCGAAGGAAGGTGTTGACAAGGTGGTTGCCACTGCTGGCAGAGCCAGAACAACTCAGTGTTTTCCTTTAGCCACTGTTAAACTGAAGGAGAAGCTTCTGGAACCAAGCGGGGCAATGGAAACATCTCACACCCTGAGGCAAGTTGGCTACCAGCAGCTGGAAAAGGTGTGGAAGCTGAAAACAGATGTTCCTCATGGACTGCCATCCAAATTCAAAAGGCAGTCCAGGTCCCTGAGCCCACAGGGGAGAGCTGCCTGGAAAAGGGCAGGAGAGCCCAGTTTGAGCAAGCCTGTCCAAGAAAGTAGTCCAGTAAACCTGGCAACAACTGACACTTTGCAGTATGGCCGAGGGCAGCTCAACTACCCGCTTCCAGATCTGTCCAAAGTGGAGCCTCGAGTGAAGTTTCCAAAGAACGCACAAAGCTACCATCCACCCCGGGGGAAGACCCCCCCAGCGAGGACCAATGAATCTGGGAAGCCAGTGGTCTTCAAGTCTCCTGCTGAGATTGTCCGTGAGGTGCTGTTGAGCAGTGGGGAAGGGTCTGTGCAGAAATGTCAAGACCCCACCATTTCTGTCATTCCCGAAGAACTCAAATCCCCAAGACAAGCTACAGTGCTGGTGCATCAACTTCAGGTAATAGCTTCAGTGTCTATTGTGAAAGTTCTGAAGCCACACATTGACTTACTTCTTATTCAGGCAGATGGCCTGTGCCTGAGCTTGTATCCCTTAAGAATGTAAGAAGAGCCCTGGGATCAGGTCAAAGGGAGCCCATCTAGTCCAACACCCTGTTCTCACAGTAGCCAGCCAGATACCCCAGTGGGGAGCCCACAAGCAGGAGCTGAACACAACAGTGTTCTCCCAAATTGTAATTTCCAGGAACTGGTAGGTATTCAGAGAAAGACTGCCTCTGACCGTAGATGTAGAACATAGCCATTGGGGTAATTTCAAATTGTTTGACACCTCCCTCCATTTTCTTAGCTACTTGCTGTCCAGTCATGGAATTTGCATGGGTTGCAACCAATGTTAGAGTAGATATATTGATAGCCTTGTCCTCTATGAATTTGGCTAATCTTCCTTTAAAGCCATTCAAGTTAGTGGTCATCACTACACCTTCCAGAATCAAATTCCATAGAGTTGTATCCAACTAAGTATCACTCAGAGCCCCAAGAAGCCAGAAGAATTCTTGTTAGCTGTAAGGGGACAGAAAATCCCAGATAAAGTAAAAAAAAAAAACACCTCTTCCTTTACGCAACAGCTACAGGAAGGGTACTATGTACTACGTACACACTAAAATGTGGAAGGAGAGGAAAATTCCGCCCAAAGACCAGTGGTTGCTTAAACTAATAGAATATGTAAAATTAGCCACGATGATGGCCAAAATAAGAACTTCAAAGGGAAAAACAGTATTGAGCAAGTGGGAACAACTTTAAAAGGAAACTGTGTAAATATAATTTTACAAGTAGGGTTAAACATATGAACACCAGTAAGCATAACAAAGAGTGAAAGATAGAGACGGGAAGGTTTGGAAAACTTTAAGAGTTGCAAAAAATCAAAGTGATTGGGTTAGGGTGTCAAGGGAAGATAGGTTGGGAAGTCCAGGCAAGAAGGGCTAGGAGATGATGTATGTAACTGGGATAACTATAACTGATCGTTATTTGCACAATTTTTTTAAAAAAAGTTTCACTCTGAGTAACTCAGTCGTGTACACTAATTTCAATATACCTACTCTAACATTGGATGCAACCCATGCAGATTCCATGACTGGATAGGTAAAGGTAAAGCGACCCCTGACCATCAGGTCCAGTCATTACCGACTCTGGGGTTGCGGCGCTCATCTCGCTTTATTGGCCGAGGGAGCCGGCGTACAGCTTCTGGGTCATGTGGCCCACATGACTAGGCCGCTTCTGGCGAGCCAGAGCAGCGCACGGAAATGCCGTTTACCTTCCCGCCAGAGCGGTACCTATTTACTTGCACTATTGTGCATTTGAACTGCTAGGTTGGCAGGAGCAGGGACCGAGCAACGGGAGCTCACCCCGTCGCGGGGATTCAAACCCACCCGCGTCCGTGGAGGGGGGTGTCAAACAATTTGAAATTATTGAGTGATCCTCTATACAGAACTCATCACATCTAGACAACCAACATGTGGGGAGAGGAGTGGGTGAACACTGTTCTCCATGAAATGCTAGTTTTCTTTGCGTCGGGATCTTTTTTATTTTTATTATATGGAAGAGCATTTAGGAATGCAGGCCATCTGTCATCTGGCATGGTACAGTATTAGACATTAGTTCACCACCACAGGAAGAGCTAGGCCATGCCATGGGTAACTGAAAACAAAGGAGCCCTAGGATCTGTAAAACTGCCATCTTGCCAATCCTGTCCCAACGATAAGGGAATGCTGCAGAAATGATGCAACATGTGCCAGTTTGCATTTCTTTGACATGATTTCTTTTCCTTTTTTTGTGGGGGGGACGAAGGAGTTATGAGCATTCATCAGACTGTGCTGTGAACATCGCTTCCAACTCTACAGTTCTATGGTTCTTATATTATTAACTGTTAACCAGTCAGCCTGGGCTCCTGTCATTGGGGGCTCCTGTCATTGGGGTTGACTGGAACTTTAAAATATGAACCTAACAGATGCCAAATGCCTTTCTTCTTTTTTTAGGAGGACTACCACAAACTGCTGACAAAGTATGCTGAAGCTGAGAACACCATTGACCGGCTACGGCTGGGTGCAAAGGTAGGATGTCTCCAGCTTGTTTGAGGACCTAGCACTGTCCTTCATCCAACTGTATTCTGTCATGCTAGATTTCTGTGTGTAGGACAGGAATGGGGAGTTGGATCTGGTGAGCAGGCTGGATTCTTATCTCTCAACCATCATCTCCCTCTCCCACAGCAGTGGAGACTGGCCTATTAGGGAGAATGAAGCACTGCGCCACCAACCTCAGTCTGCTCTCAGCCATCCTCCACCTGCCTGCCTTCTTAGTTACAAGCAGTCATGGGGATGGCACTGAATGTCAGGTTCCTCCTCCATCTTGGTGTTGCCCTTTGTTGAGCTTAGCAGGGAGCCTAGAACCAGTCAGCTCCACCTCTCATTGGCTCTGGCTCATCTCACCTCTGACTCCAACTGCCATTGGTCTCCCCACACTGTTGTTCTCCCTGCCTTCCACCCTGCCAGAACTAATGGGCACCACCTCCCACTGCCCTGTGGGCCAAATCTGGAAGGTGATGGGGCCACTTACCCATCAATCACCTGGCGTCACAATGACATCAGGTGTCCCATTTTCCTTTGCCCGCATGGTTTGGCATTAAACAATGCAGGAAAAGGTACAGCAATTTATAACTTCCTGTGATCACAGTGGCGCCTGCAAACTCCACTTTTTAACCCAGCTGCTGATTAGGCAGATGGTGCACTGATGATCAGCAATTTGGATGGCTTCAAAGAGGATTAGACAGGTTCATGGATGATAAAGCTAGCAGTGGTTCCTAGCCACAATGCCTGTGCTCTGCCACCATTGTTGGAGACACTAGACCTCTGAACACTAGTTGCTTAGAATCATGTGAGGAGGGCTGTGACACTCAGGCCCTGCTTGCAGGTTTTGCACAGGCATATGTCTGTGGAAGGACAGATCGTGAAGCTGAGGCTCCAATACTTTGGTCACCTCATGAGAAGAGAAGACTCCCTAGAAAAGACCCTGATGTTGGGAAAGATGGAGGGCACAAGGAGAAGGGGACGACAGAGGATGAGATGGTTAGACAGTGTTCTCGAAGCTGCCAACATGAGTTTGACCAAACTGCGGGAGGCAGTGGAAGACAGGAGTGCCTGGCGTGCTCTGGTCCAGGGGGTCACAAAGAGTCGGACACAACTAAATGACTAAACAACAACAACAACATGTCTGGCCATTGTGAGCACAGGATCCTGGACTAGATGGGACACAGGCCTGATCTAGCAACCAGGCTCTTCTTAGCAAGGCCCCCTCCCCCTTTATGGGGGGGAGGGTCTGTTTAAAGGAGAGAATAGGAATCATTATGTTTTGTTTTCTGTTTTTTTTAAGATACACCCCACCCCCCCACACAAGCACTTTTGGTTCCAGGTTCCTGTTTGTGTCAGTGAGTCAGGCAGCCTGGCCTCTGCTTGAGCAGGAATGTGAGAATACGAGAACGTGCCTAAAAGATGAGCAGTTCAGGGTTGCAACAGGTTTTTCCCCACCCACCCTTTTCCTGTATCTTAAGAGCTGCGTCTTTTCAAACCACAGCCCAGCAGAAGCAACCACCATGGCAGCTACTCAGAAAGAGGAAGGAAGATGTGGGACATTAATTAAAAGAAGTCTTAAGAACATGAATGGCTTTAAAGTAGGGTTGGAGAAATTCAAGTCTTATTAGCGGCTGGTCACCATGATGGTTGTGCTTGTGCCTCCGTGGTCAGTTGCTAGAAATCACAGGAGAGGAGAGTGCTGTTGTGCAGGTTTCCCACAGTCCCACTGTGAAAACAGGATGCTGAACTAGATGACCATTGGTCTGATCCAGCGGGCTCTTATATTATTATGCTATGTTCTTAACAGAAGAAATATCTCTGCTGGATCAGGCCAATGGATGATATAATCAGCATTCTGCTTCCAGAAGTGGTTAGCCCAATGTTTCTGAGAAGGCCACTGGCAGGGCAACTCTCCTTTTTAGTTGTCCTTATTTTGTCTTTGATACTCTGGGTAAAGCACAACAGGATTTGGAGGCTCTATTTGGCTTTCATGCAGAAAACTAGTTAGGGATGAGGGATAAATTTGTTTGGCTTGCATTATCTTATCTTAATTTGACCTTCCCAAATCAACATGCAAAGGTAGAATTGTGGCTATCTTTCAAACTTCTCACTCCTCCAAATTTTGCAATGCAGTTCCCCAGCTAAAAAGTGCATGCAGGAAGGTGTATTTTAGAGGGAAGTGTGTTCACCAATGCCTTTATTAGTCAAAATGACAAACAAGTGTGCATTCAATATGGAGAAATTGCTTGCAGAAAATGTGTATGAGGCAAAATTGCATCCAAAAATATGTAAAATAGATGCATTTATTACCCTGATCTCTAAGCAAGATAGTGACTTAACAAAGACTAAAAATTACAGATATATTTCTTTATTGAACTATGATTATAAACTGTTTGCTACAATTTTAGCTAACAGACTAAAAAGGACATTGACTGAGTCAGTCCACAGAGGCCAAGCTGGTTTTTTTACCAGGCCATCAAATGAAGGACAAAATAAGAAACATAATTAATCTAATAGAGTATTTGGAAGTAAGAAATGAAAAGCAGACCACACTAATCTTTTTAGATGCAGAGAAAGCCTTTGATAATATTTCATGGTCATTCATGATTAAGGTATTAGAGAAAATGGAATAGGTAATCCTTTCCTTTCTGTTGGGGATAATTAAGACTGAAATCTCCAGGTGTCGGAAAAGGTTATTTATGTATGCAACAACAGTGGCTCGTGTTTTGTTAGCCCCAAAATGGATAATGAGCAAGGTCACAAACAAAGAAGATTGGCAACTTGCAGACTTAACATATAGAACAGGAGAACAAGAAGAACATACATTTGAAGAGGATTGGAAAATGTTTATTGAATATATGGAAAATAATTGTGTACCGCTGATAACACTGGCAGTATTACTATAAATTCAACAGTGTAAATAAGTTTTGATGGATGTGATAATGGAAGACCGATTGGTATAGTTTTTGTAAAATAGGCAGGGATATAAGATATGTAAAATGAACCATGGAAAGAGAATAAGGGAAGTCATTGACATCTTAAGTATGTAAAATGTTTATTGGAAATTGTAAAATAGACAATTAAATAAAAATCATATTGAAAACCAAAAAACCCCCAAAAATACGTAAAATAGGAGAAATAGGAAAATGTACATATTTGCTTTTAAATAAATTGCAATAATTGCAAACTGAACTGGAGATGGGGTAAACTGAAGATTGAAAAATGAGAGAAACTAAAACTGACAGACATGTCTATTCCTGTTGCTGATAGCTGTTGATGGATCTAACATCTCCATGAATTTAACAAATCCCTTTTAAAACCTCTTCCGAAAGTGACTGTCATCAGTATTCTGGCTCAGATGTAGAGGACACCACCAGTAAATTCTCACCCAGCCTCGGTATACAGGGGCACTTAGACAAATAGTGAAGCTTATAGTGAGTCAGACCATTGGTCCAGCTAGCTTAGTGCTGCATACACTGACTGGCAGCAGCTCTCCAGGGTTTCAGACAGAGAGCCTCTCCCTCCTCTACCTGAGGTACAGGAGACCTTGGGACCTTCTGCATGCACAGCAGATGCTCTACCACTGTGTTACAGTCTCTCCCCAAAAGGAAAACGCTTCTTTGGAAACTAGATTATAACTGAATGTGCATGAGAGGTATAGTAGAATGGATTTCCAGGTCTGTGGTTCACAGAGGGGTATGTGGGAGGAGTTTGAGAGAGAGACATACTGCACAGATGGCAAGGATTAATGAAATCCAGCTTTAGTCCCCGCCAACTGAAAATAAGTGAGCAAGGGTGATGGAGCGAGGAGATAAGGGATTTTCCTCAGCCCCCAGAGCTGTTTGTGAATGGGTAATCAGAGATGAGCTCATACGGCCTTCCTGAGCAATTTTATTTTGACTCTGGCAACATCAGAAGTTGCTTTCTATAAGATAAGGCTATTTGTTTATCTAGTGTGGTATTGTCTAATGGCAATGGCTCTCCAGCTTTTAAGGAAGGGCTGTAGCTCAGGGGAGGGGAGTGGGTAGAGCATCTGCATTGTATGTGGAAGGTACCTGGTTCAATGTCCAGCATCTTCAGTTAGGGCTGTGAAAGACTCTGCTGCCTGAAACCCTGGAGAGTCCCTGCCAGTCAGTGTAGACAGTACTGGGCTCAAGCAATGAAGAGCCTGTTTTCCATAGCTTTCTGACTGATCCTTTTTAACCGGAGATGTCACAGATTAAAACGGGGGTCTTCTGCATGTGCTCTAAAAGCAGCGCTACAGTCTGGAATGTACTCTGTACATGTTCAGAGGAACTGTATCAGTTCTTCAAATAACCACTGACATTTAAATAGAGAAAGCCACCCCACACCTGATTTCCACCTCTTGATTAAGTCAGGGCAATGGACATCAATGCTATGACCATTCATTGTCCAGCCTTGGTAGGCAAAGTGAGTCCCAGGGACTGAAGGTACTTCATGGGGAAGAGGCCATCTGCAGTTCAGGTGGAGCTCCATGCAGATCTAGCACCTCTTCATAGCTCTTCCCCTATGACTCCCCTCCTCACCCTTCCCAGCACCCCTGTGTTTCAAAATCATATTTGGATTGAATAACCCCATGGATTTCTTCTGCCTCTCAGGTGCGGCTGTACTATGACCCTCCAAAACCCAGCCATGGGGTCCAAATGGGGACTGTGGCTCAGGCCTCCAAGGTCATAACCTTCAGCATCCCTCAGGCCAGGACAGCTGAGGTCACAGGGAGCTCTAGCTCAGCACCAGATGCTGCTTGGAATGAAGGTAAGGTCTGAGAAACCTGTGCAGCATCCTTTGGAAGAAATAACGTTTGTAGGAAGTTCACTTTAGGACAAACAGTAAGGTTTGGATGAATATTGGCTAGATCTCTGATGCTGGTAGCTAAATATGGTCCCATCCCCCCAAGCCCAGCCTCTATCCCAAACTACAATCATTTGATGAACTTGCTTAGATCAGTGGTGAGTAATGTAAAGGTAAAGGATGCCTGGACTATTAAGTCCAGTCAAAGGTGACTATGGGGGTGGGGCATTCATCTCACTTCAGACCGAGAGAGCCGGTGTTTGTCCACAGACAGCTTTCTGGGTCATGCGGCCGGCATCACTAAACCACTTCTGGCACAATGGAACACCATGACAGAAGCCAGAGTGCTCGGAAACGCCATTTACCTTCCTGCCACAGCGGTACCTATTTATCTACTTGCACTGTTATGCTTTAGAACTGCTAGGTAGGCAGGAGCTGGGACAGAGCAATGGGTGAGTTCCAATGGCTCTCTAGTCATTGTTAGATTCCAGTTCCTAACAGCCCCAGCAACAAGGTCAAGTGTTTGGGATGAAGGGAGTTTTAGCCCAACAATATGTAGAAAGCATCATGTTGGCTACCCCTGCTCTACCTTAGCTGAGCCAGCAGAATAGCAGGCCCTTGAAACTGAGGTGTGCAAGGCCCAAGCTCCAGGTTCCTGATATGGTTCTCAGAACTATCCCTAGGCCACATCCCTCACCTGATCTGTGCCTTCCTTGAGTGTTTTTGCCTGGCTGGAATGTGTTCTTCAACCTTGATAGTGCTTTTTGGGTAGAGGATAGTGGTGGAGGTTCATGAGTGTGTATAGAAACTAGCCTACCACACAAAGGTAATTTTACTGTTTACCGACACGCACTATTCCACCCACTTTTGCCTCTGACCCCACCTATCACTTGTGGCCCCCACAAGGTGTTCCAGAAGGGAATGTGGCCCTCAGGTTCAAAAAGATTCCTCATCCCTGCCTTAGATGCCCAAGCAGTTCTATGTACCTTGGGATCCTTCCTATATTTTATCTTGGCTGGTTTTTTGTTGCTTTCTCACTAGCCCTGAAGACCATCTCCTTTCTCAATATGTCAGTTCCTATAGACTACTAATAAATTCATTCTTGTGAGTGTGGATCCTGGTGTAGCCAAAACACAAGAGTGAGGTTTTGGTGTAGCCAAAACACAAGAGTGAGGTTAGCAGCAGTCTTATGGGAACTCCAAGCTTTGCAGAAGTGCACAAAGGAGAACAAACTTTATTCAAATAAGAAAAGGGGGGTGCACACCCAACAGCGCAATAAGAAGTGAGCATGCTCAGTATCCACAAAATGTTGACTGAATTGTGTGGGTGGAAGAGATATTAAAGCAGGAAAGAAAATAATGGATTGGAGTAGTCTGGAAGAGAACATGGCTAGCTAGACTGTCTCCTCCCCACCTTCCCCATTCCTTAAGCAGCTCTGATGGGTAAGATCTTGCCAGATTCGTTTATCTCAATGCATAAAAGTTTTTGTCTCCTTAAATTGCAGGATTTTCTGGTCCTCAAGCAGCCTCCTTTCCTCTTCCCAACTCCATGGGTTTGGGCAATCCAGCAGCAGATGGCTTCACCTCCACATCAACACCTTTTGCAGGAGATCACTTGACACACCTGTTGGCTTCCCAAGCTAGCAAATTCCAGACTCAGGCAAGTTCACAGCTTAGAGCCAGCAAACTGTTTTGAAGTGCATGCCTGTGTGTGACTATTTGCTTCCCTCTGAATCTTTGTGCAAGCAATGCACACAATTCAGTGCTATTTTTCTAGAAAAAGAGGTGCCGGAACTCACCATGAACGCCTCTCTTATTCTCTTATAGTGGCAATGCCACCCACCTAAGAGGAGCCGGAACTGAGTTCCGGCAAGTTCCAGCTGAAATAACCCTGCACACACCCATCCAATTCAGTGTTTTAGAACTGTAGTCTCTCTTAAATAACAGCCCCCTTTAGTTACTGTTGCAAAACTGATATGCACACACACTCTCAGTTTCATCTGCTCACCATCCATCAATAACAACAGAATCCCACTTAAGAGAGGGAGGAGAGTTGGATTCTTAGTGTGGCATTGGTTTGTTGTGCTTGTTTGGTTGCTAATTGGTGATGGGATCCAATTAGCCTTGTTTCTTTAGTTAGCACAGTTGATGGCATGTAAAAGGAAGGGAGAAAGTGAGTGCTGTTAGGGAATAATGAGCTTACTACAGGTGTTGTTATGAGTTGGGAAGGTGTCTTCACAGGTTGTTTTTCACCCAGTTTGTTGGTGCCAAGACCAGCTGGTGGTTTTTGCACTTTGTAAGGTAAAGGTAAAGGTAAAGAGACCCCTGACCATTTGGTCCAGTCGTGAGCGACTCTGGAGTTGCGGTGCTCATCTCACTTTGTTGGCCGAGGGAGCCGGCGTACAGCTTCCGAGTCATGTGGCCAGCATGACTAAGCCGCTTCTGGCAAACAAGAGCAGCGCATGGAAATGCCGTTTGCACTTTGTAGGGCTGTGCAATAAATCACCATATCGTTGAATACGGTATTGAAATAACATAGTGGTAAGTGTTTCAACAAGGCAATATACCAGTGAACAAAAGGTGGAGATTTAACAGCTTCCCAGGGAGTAGCTCAGCTGAACCATACTTTACAGATACTTTACAGATACTTTGCAGGCATGGTGTCTCCAGCTTTGTTTGCTCTTTCCCTCCTTCCTTCTAAATGATAATAAATCACACAAACCAGCAAACTCTGTCAGCTTCACTGGTATCTTTCCACTTAGAGCTCAGCTAATTATGCAGAACCTGCTAACTATTAAAAACAAAAGCAAAAGCAAAATTGTGACAAAGCATATTAATCCAGTTCAGTTGCACAAGCATACATTTCAGTTTGCAACTGAATCCTCACAAAATACTAACAGTATGGAGGTGACTTTATGTTTTCACCTAGAGCAGGGGTCAGCAAACTTTTTCAGCAGGGGGGCAGTCCCCTGTCCCTCAGACCTTGTGGGGGGCCAGACTATTTTTTTTGGGGGGGGATGATGCAAGAGCCCCACGAGCCCCGCTGGCTGCTTACAAGCGGCAGGGGTTGGCAGCGGCAGAGGGATGATGAGCGGTGCGCGAAAGGGCTCCGGAGAGGGGCTGCATAAAATGGTGGCCGCTTGAGCGCTGCTGCTGCTGCTGGCACCGACAAAGCCCAGCCCCCTTCCTCCTCTAGGCAGGGCGGGAAGAAGCCAGGAGGAGGGAGGGAGACGATGACAACGACGACACCGTGTGAGGGAGAGGGAAAGAGCATGTGCGCTGGTGATCCACACGGTGATACCTAAACTGTCCATGGGCCGGATCCAGAAGGCAATTGGGCCTGATCTGGCCCACGGGCCTTAGTTTGCCTACCCATGACTTAGAGGCTTTGGGTAACAGGCCTAAGTATGGCACAGGTTCTGGAGGAGATTAAGTTGATTAAGGAAGGTGGGGGAATCACCCAAATGGAGATTGTGTAGCAAAAGAACAGTAGCAGCCCCCCCCTCAAGGTGGCATTACTGGCTCTTAAGCAGGATATGACGAAATGTTCTGAATGCTCTTATTTAGGTGGAAAATTTGGAGGAGCTAATTCGAACAAGGAAGTTGCCACTTCAAGACCAGCTAAAGGTACCACAATCATTTTCTCGAATTAATGTTGCAACTTTTTCTTTTTTAAATGCGATTTGTATTAAAGTTTTTCATAATACGTAAAATAGGTAAGGTAAAGGTACCCCTGCCCATTCGGGCCAGTCTTGCCAGACTCTAGGGTTGTGTGCTCATCTCACTCTATAGGCCGGGAGCCAGCGCTGTCCGCAGACACTTCCGGGTCACGTGGCCAGCGTGACAAGCTCCATCTGGCGAGCCAGTGCAGCACACGGAACGCCATTTACCTTCCCGCTGGTAAGCGGTCCCTATTTATCTACTTGCACTTAAGGGTGCTTTCGAACTGCTAGGTTGGCAGGCGCTGGGACCGAACGACGGGAGCGCGCCCTGCCACGGGGATTCGAACTGCCGACCATGCGATCGGCAAGTCCTAGGCGCTGAGGTTTTACCCACAGCACCACCCGCGTCCCATGGTTACCAAAAAACAAATGGAATAAGTGGAATACAGAGTCCTTTCTTAGAAGGTCATTCTTAGCCCCTACCACCCATAGAGCACAGTAGCTCCTCCCAGTTCTCACCTGGGATCTTTTCTTTCTCTTCCCAGCCTCTCACCCTGGGAGACCGACATTTCCCTGTTGCTCACCCAGGATCCTCCAACAACCATTTACCACCCCTATGAGTTTACAGTCTATGGACCTTAATAAAAGTCCCTGACATGGGACTTCAAAGAGAACCAACAAAAGAAAGAAAAGGAACAATAAGAAGAAAGAAGAGAGAGGGATGGAGAGAGAGGGAGATCAATAAAATAAAAAAGACAAACAAACAAAATAAAAATTAGAGAAAGATTTTTAAAACTTCTGATTTTCTATCTGCCGCTTACATAAAAAAAGAAAAATATATATGATTATTTAAGACATTCAGTTCATGCCTACACCCATCTTCTTCACCTTGAAATTGCAGAAATTGTAACAAGTTGGTTGCAATATGATCAGCTTAATGAGGCATTCGAATTGAATAAGAGGAATGGTTTTGCGATGCACACCTCTCAGTTAGAAAGATACCTGCTAGACGAGGGTAGTCAACCTTTTTATACCTACTGCCCACTAATGCATCTTTCTTGATGGTAAAATTTCCTTACCCTCTACCAGTGCTTGATAGAAGGAGGATTCAGCTTGTGCTGTAGAACCCCCTACTGCCCACCTATAATCCTGAAACGCCTTCTAGTGGGCAGTAGGGACCAGGTTGACAACCCCTGTGCTAGACAATAACAATAAATTGCTGTCTAAAATGTGTTTTTGTATTGTAAACCACCCTGTGATCTTCAGATGAAGGGTGGTACATGAGTGGTGGTGGTGGTGGTGATGTAAATAAATAAATTTCCAGGGTGCTGAGAGCTGTTAGCAAACTCCTATTTCCCTCACAAAGCTACACCTTAAAGAGTGGTTTAAGAATCCCACTTTGCAGGAAACTTTGGGAAGTGTAGCTCTCTGAGTGGCATAAGGTGTCTTTCAGGAGGGCAACATCTGTCTGAAAGCTTCATCCTGGGAGAATGCCTGAAATAATTTACTACAAGGTGATTTTTGTTGGTTCCATTATCAATGAAAGTAGAAACTTATCCATATTTCTGCATTGCTAGAGTGCCATTTCCCATCAAAAGGATACAGTTAGAGTCAACACAGCTGTGGTACTCGGGAGTCAACAAGTCACTCAAAATCCCCTGCCTCTTTCAACCTTGCTTTCCATTGTAGGGGTTCGCAAGACTAAAGGAAGCCCAGGATGCCTTGGAGCAGACATATCTACAGGCTCGAGATGAATGCAGGCAGTTGCAGAACCATCAAGAACCTGCAGGGGCGCTAGGAGACTTTGATTCTGATCGGTATGTATATAAAGTGGTACCTTGGTTCTCAAACGCCTTGGTACTCAAATGCTTTGGTTCTCAGACGCTGAAAAACCAGAAGTAAGTGTTCCGGTTTTCGAACATTTTTCGGAAGCCGAACGTCCGATGCAGCTGTCAGCTATTGTTTCCAAGGCGCCTGCACCAATCAGAAGCTGCGCCTTGGTTTTTGACATTTTGGAAGTCAAACGGACTTCTGGAATGGATTAAGTTTGGCGCTTTTGTTTTTGCTATTTATTTTGCGTTTTTATTTTTGAGGCTTTTAATTTGTTTTTGTGACTATGTGGAACCCAGTTCAGCTACTGACTGATTGATTGTGTGACTGTGGAAATGGATAAAAGCCCCCCCCCCCCCCGTTCAAACAATAACTATAATCAGTGCAGGTAAGATTTAAGATTTTTATATATATCTACAATACTGTCTTATTTATTTTATAGTACAGTACATTGATTATTGCTTTCATTTCATGGATGAATCGTATCGTTAGATAGTAAAATTCATGTTAGATTGCTGTTTTAGGGGTTGTTTTTAAAAGTCTGGAACAGATTACAGTGGTACCTCAGGTTACAGACGCTTCAGGTTACAGACTCTGCTAACCCAGAAATAGTACCTCGAGTTAATAACTTTGTTTCAGGATGACAACAGAAATCGTGCGGTAGCAGCATGGCGGTACTTGCAGGTTAAGAACAATTACAGGTTAAGAACAGACCTCCAGAACGAATTAAGTTCTTAACCCGAGGTACCACTGTAATCCATTTTGCATTACTTTCTATGGGAAAGCATGTCTTGGTTTTGGAACGCTTTGGTTTTGGAACAGACTTCCGGAACGGTTTAAGTTTGAGAACCAAGGTACCATTGTATTGCACAAGTTGATTGAGCAAGGATTTCAGGCATGGAGTCTCTCCCAGCCCTACCTGGAGATACTGGGGGTTGAACCTGAGGTCGTCTTCGTACAGTCCTGGGATGGTAGGAAAAGTGGGAACTAAATATGAGGAGGAGACAGTGTGCTGACAGACTTTTGGATGAGACCCCTTGGGAGCTGTTGCCAGTCAATTTAGAGCAGGGGTAGCCAAGGCAGCATCACCCAGAGGTGGTTGTTGGACTACAAGCCCCATCATTTTTGAACACTGGCCATGCTACTGCATGGGGTAGATGGGAGTTGTAGTCCAGCAACACCCGGAGAGCGTCACTTTCCCTACCTGTGATACAGGAAGTACTAAGCATTATAGAGCAATAGCCTGGCTTCTGTACTCCTGTTCCCTGAGCTATATTGCTGTTCTAGCTTCTCTCATCTTTGCTAACTCATTTTAACACTTTCCAGAGCAGTGGAAGGACAGATATTCCAACTGGAGATGCGCTTGGAGGAGCTGAAGGAAAGGATTGACCAGGCAATGTGGGACCAGCCAGTTGCACAGAGCAGCGTTGAGGCACCTGATTCATCCTGCCTGTTTTCCAGCTCAGGCATCCGAGTCGCAGATGAGGTCGCCGACTCCATCTCTTCAAGCCCCAGTCCCGGTGGTCTGCACTCCATACCCTGAGGTCACATGCAATTACTTCAAGGTTTTCCCAAGCGAGGAATGGCATATCTAAAGGATATTTTGATAGATAGATGATAGATAGATAGATGATAGATAGATAGATAGATGATAGATAGATAGATAGATAGATAGATTTGATTATATTTCTATGCTGCTTTTCATTCAGAGTGGATTACAAGCAATAGAGCAATAACATGATAGGACATAATAGAAGATCACAAACACAGCATAAATCATATTGAATAATTAACAAATCATCAGTGAAACAATTAGTCTATAAAACACTGTTAACAAGGCAACAACTAAGAAATAAGCTAAACATCACAATTAAAGCCAAAGTAATATTTGAGATACAGGAGTGTGTTTAAAGGTTTCTTTGTGCACAGATCTGAAAGTTTTTTTATACCGTGGATTTATTGGTATTACTCTGGAGCCCTTTACAAGGCTACATATATTACAAAGCATGAAATGGCTTGTATCTCCTATCTGGCCTGTGGGACACTCTCTCCGGGCCAGGGCCAGATGACACATGAGGCAGGCTGAGGAAGCTGCCTCAGATGTGGAAGCCCAAATACAGGGATTCCAACTTGCATAAAATATTGGAGAGGCCCAGATAAGCCCTGCTTCACATATTGATCACAAGACGTGTTAAAACACACCATTTGAATGGCAGTGCTCATCAACTTGTGGGGGGCAGCCCTTTCAAATCTTTTATTGTGGAATGGGGTCTAAGGGACCTTAGCCACTAGGAGTTGGCTTCTGTGCCTGAGAGACAGCACCCCCACAAGTGCCCCACCCATCATACTGCCTCCACCACTGGTGAAGAAGCAGTGTTGGCTTTTCCGGCAAGAATTCATGTGCTCTATGACAGTGTTTCCCAACCTTTTTTGGGCAAAGGCACACTTGTTTCATGAAAAAAATCTCGAGGCACACCACCATTAGAAAATGTTTAAAAAATTAACTCTGTGCCTATATTGACTATATATAAAGTAACTCTCTTTTAATAGGAATCAAATAAACACAAAGAAAGTATTTTATAATTACTTTATTATGAAATAGTAAGTAAACAGAAATATGAAAAATTATAAAATACTTTATTCAGTGCGCAACCTGGGCCTGTTTGGCTGAACACAAAGCTGATATTCTGGCTGGAATCGAAGAAAGACACACACGTAGCTCTTCGTCAACAGCTCTCAGTCTCTCTCTGTATTTAGTTTTTATAGCAAATGAAGGAAGAGTAAGCAGGCTGGGGTGGGTTAAGTAAGGGCTGAAAGTGCCTAGATGAAGTGGGGGAAGCTAGAGAGGAGGTACATTCTGACGTTTGAGGATAGACTAGGTTCTTTATGTGAATGATAGGTGAGTTATTTGACAGATCGAACTGAGAGCAAGGTGTGGCTTGTGTAGCTGGGGTGGACATGAATGTTTGGGGTGCAAACCCCAGGCCGGCCAGGTCCGAGGGGGGGGCAGGGAGAGACGGGCCTGCCTGCCTCTGCCTGCGCTGTGGTGTGTTTTGCCCCGACCGACGGACGGACCGACCTGCCAGCTGTCTCCGCAGTAGCAGCACGGACTGGAGCTCCGTCATTCTCCCCACCGGTGCCCGGGGAGGGGAGTGTGGGGCGGCCGCTGTGGAAGCGACGGCGTGCTCCTCCTCCTCCTCCTCCTCTTGCCGGGCTAGAGCCAGCCGGCTAGCGCTCGCCCCTCCTTGCTCGAGCCGACCCCGCCGCCGGGGGCCTTCCCGTCCTCTCAGCGGCGCCGCCTCGCGTCCCTCGTCCGGGGGTTGGGAGGGGGCTGGGGGGGAGGAAGGGGGCGAGGGGGAGCAGCCACCGCTGCTCCTGAGGAGATTCTGAGGCGGGGCGGGCGACGCGGGGCGGAAGAGGAGTGGTCCCGCCAGCCCCGCGTTTCTCTCTCTCTCTCCCTCACGGAAACCTTCCCCTCAGCTTCTGCCGCTTTTTCTCTTCTTTCCCTCTTCCTTTTTTTTTTTTTAAATGAAAAATCTTTCCTTTCTCTCTTTTCCAGCCCCCCCTCCCCTCTTCACGGAATTTCACTGCACTCGGGCGCCGCGGCGCGCAGGCGCACTGCTTGCTCCTCTTTCCGCGCAGGCGCCTTCTCTCGCTCTTTCGCCTCCTTTTCTTTCTCTCTCGATGGTCCGCCTACAAAGGAGCGAGGGAGGCGCCCGCCATGTTTGGATTTGCATCCAGCAGGAGATGCCGCCGCCGCCCCGCCTCTCGCCGCCCGACTCGCCCGCCTCCCTCCCACGGCACACCAGGCAACGTCTCGCGGCACACTAGTGTGCCGCGGAACACCGGTTGGGAAACACTGCTCTATGAGATTTCTCAAGATCTCACCAGAAGCTGCCATGTCTGCTGCTGCTTTATGGGCACCACCATGCAACCCAGGAAAGGGAGATTTTGGTAGGAGTGGGGAGGAGCGGTGGCAGTATGGGGGGGCACCTCCCTGTTTCACTTCAGGTAGTAAAAAGGGAAGAGTTGTATTAAGTAGTGGGTGGACATAGCAGACGACACAGAGATTTCTCCAAGTAGTTCTTTATAAGTAAGCTGGAACTGAACTGAACAGTAAACAGCTCAGCTGGCCTGCTTTTATAGGCAGCCGGCTGTCAACAATATAACAACAACAGCCCAGGGTTTCCCACCTAAATTAACTTAGATGGACCTGAGTTAAAACTATATACATAATACCACCTGGTGGCCAGGGTGAGAACTTCAATACAGCTGCGTCAGGCCATGCAGTAGGCCATGCTTCCATGGCAACCATCTAGTGACTGGCGCCCACAGCACTTTCTCAAAATTCAAAATGCACCCACTAGTCCTCCATAAAGGTCACCAACCTCTATTCTAGACTGACAGTGATTTAAATTGTTCAACATTTTATACCAATTGCCAAATTCTTTTGGAGGGGGTGTGGCTTTGCTTTCATTTGGGCCTTGCTCATGCCTTGACTCTCTGCTCCTCAGACCCCCTTCCCCACGAATGGCCGCAGCCAAGCCCAGCTGGCCTTGGAAGTGAACTCCATCAGTGATGAGACTGGAGAAGAGGGAGAAAGCAGCCTTCCGGAACCACTCCGGCACATGCAAGCCCAGGTGGAAAAGGACTTTGATCACCTCCTGGACCAGTAAGTGTATGAGTTTTGTATATATGGGGTGAATGTCTTTTTGATGTCGGAGAAAGACCCCCCCCCCCCAAGTCCTTCAATAATCTTTTGAAGATTTACAGCCTTTTCACTCTTTAAATAAAAATGATCTCTGCATCATGCTGTTGTTCTAGCATGGTAGAATGTATTCCTTTGGATTTCTGAACAAATTGATCGTTGCTGTGATGTTTTCTTCTCTAGGACTCCATTTTTGCTATACTTTTAAATCAGTATTGTGCCCCTCCCAATAACTGTGCTCTTCTGCAAAGAATCCTGGGAATTGTAGTTTGTGCTTAAAGTCCTTAGGAGGCCCCCGGTCCCCTCAGAGCTACAGTTCCCAGAGTTTCTGGAAAGGTGAATTGATTGTTAAACTAATTTGAGAACTGTAGTACTGTGAGGTGGAACAGAGGTCTCCTTAGACCTCTCTGCCCCCTTAACAAACTACAGCCCCCAAGATTCTTTGGCAGGAGCCATGACTGTTTAAAGTGTTAAGGTGCTGCTTTAAATGTATAGTGCAGATGAAACCTATATCTCTACTTCGAATGGTTGGTTAATATATTGGGTTGCTTCCAGTGAAGTTCTACTCAGAGTAGACCCATTGAAGTGAATGTACCTAAGTTAATCATGTCCATCAATTGAAATGGGCCTACTCTTAGTAGGACTGGCAGCGACTAATATTCAGTGTCAGTTCATCTGGTTTCAGAAGGCTGACAGACCCAAGCTTAACCTATTGTCTCTTTTCCCACAGCTACAACAGCTTCAAATCTTTGCCAGAAGCTCTGAGCTTGGAACAGCTGCACCTGGACAGTCATTACTCACGCCCAGATGAAGCAGACGGTACAGGCATAACGGATGTTGGGACAAAGGAAGGCTCCCACTGGGTGGTGTCTAAAGCTAGCAAGACCTCTTACAGGCCTTCAACCTTGCAGTAAGTCATCCAGGAGAAGAAACCACACTTCAGCTATGCCCTAATTATTTCATGGGTCAGGGACCTGTGGCCCTCCAGATGTTGCTGGATTGTGAGGAATGTTGCTCATCCCTCAACATTGGCCATGCTTACTGCAACTGATGGGAGTCCAACAGCATCAGGAGGGCACCACATCAGCTCTCTTTATCTGTCCTGAACCTTCCAGCAGTCAGCTTCATCTTAAGCATCCAATGAAGCTGAATGGTGGAATATTCCAGATAGATAAAAGAATGACCTTTACGCAGCATGTAGCAATACATTCCCACAGGAGGCAGTGATGGCTGTCAACTTGGATGGCTTTTATTAAGTACAGTGGTACCTTGGGTTAAGAACTTAATTTGTTCTGGAGGTCCGTTCTTAACCTGAAACTGTTCTTAACCTGAGGTACCACTTTAGCTAATGGGGCCTCCCGCTGCCGCCGCACAATTTCTGTTCTCATCCTGAAGCAAAGTTCTTAACCCGAGGTAATATTTCTGGGTTAGCAGAGTCTGTAACCTGAAGCGTCTGTAATGTGAAGCGTCTGTAACCCGAGGTACCACTGTAGTGCATGGACATAGCAGACGACCCAGAGATTTCTCCAAGTAGTTCTTTATAAGTAAGCTGGAACTGAACCGAACAGCAAACAGCTCAGCCGTCCTGCTTTTATAGGCAGCTGGCTGTCAACAATGGTAACAACAACAGCCCAGGGTTTCCCACCTAAATTAACTTAGATGGACCTGAGTGAAAACTATATACACAATTCCCCCTGGTGGCCAGAGTGAGAACTTCAATACATAACAGATTTACAAGAGGATTAGACAAAGTCATGGAAGACAAAGCTATCAACAGCTACTAGCAATGATGGCCATGTTTTGCCTCCACGTGGTGGCAGTATGCCTCTGAATGCAAGTTGGAGGGAATTGCAGGAGAGCAGAATTGCACTCATGTCTTGCTTGTGGGCTTCCCACAGGCTTCTGGTTGGCCACTGGGAGGGCAGGATCCTGGACTAGATGGGCTATTGGCCTGATCCAGCAGGGTTCTTATGTCCTTAACTGCCTCTGGTCTAACCACTCTGCACATTGCCTTGAAAATATTGGTGGGAGACCTTTCACAGACCACCATGATGCCTGCAAACATTCTGGGATGTGACTAAACTTAGAAGCAGGGATGCTTGCTTTTCCAACAAAGATGCCTTTGCTTTCTCTCCCTCTTTCTTTCCCAGACTTGGACAAAGGAGCTTTTTATTTTAGGCTATTTTTATTTTCAGTTCTTTCTACTCGATAGGGCTGAGTTGGCAGGGCAGATGCAGGGGCAGGGACTGTGGGAGCAGGAAAAAGGAGAAACCGAAGGAAATAGGGGAGTGGGGGAAGGGGACGAATTTGATGGGAAGGAAGTGAATGTGAAGCCTGGAATCACATGGATTGAAAAGGAAGGGAGAGGTAAATGCATATGAAATCTCTTTCTCCTTTCCTTTCCTTTCCTTTCCTTTCCTTTCCTTTCCTTTCCTTTCCTTTCCTTTCCTTTCCTTTCCTTTCCTTGCATGTGTGCAAGATGCCCAGGGCTGCAGCTTGTAGCTTCCCTGCTTATGTAAAACATAGTGCCTGCCTCTACAACCCATGCAAAAAGACAGCTTCGTCATATGAGCACATGAAAGCACAGTTCCTACTTTAGAAGTCTGGGAATGAAGGGCCTTCTTAGTCTCTGGGTTCTGACAGGAACAGACTCTCATAGCCTGGCTTGAAAAGCTCTTGCAGCAGGTTTGGATTACTCCTTCTCTTCCCAGATCCCCAGGTGGGGATTTAAAAAAAGTGATGTTGCTAACTCCTAAATGTGTGGTGGCTGGGGAGGTTAATCGACCTTCTTCTCCAGGATGAATGTTCAATAAGAAAACCATCTGAACATGCCCTAGGTCAAGGGTTGCAAGTTCTTCATCCTGACTTAGCAGCTGCCATCTTGAATGTTGGACTTTTCAACAGCCACTGGCATCTTCTGTGTTCCTTTTCCCCGAGCTACATTCTTGAAACTGCTGAGAGATTACCTTGGAAGTAGGGGCAGCCCAGAATGTGAAAGGCTGTTGACAGCAATGCATTCGTATGTTACTTTCCCCAGTAGCCTTTATTTGTTTTGTTTCTTTAAAGTGAAGCTGTACCTTTGACCCGATAGCTTTGTTCAGAGATCTGCAAAACTAGAATGTGGCCGGAATAGGTCAGACAACCCATAAGCCTCTGCTGTGTCCCCCTTCTCTCTCTTCCTGCTCCCCCATTTCTAATAGGCAGCCCCAACAGATGGAACCTTCTGAGCAGCTTTTGAGGAAGTCCCAGCAGGAAGTACCTGCCCAGACCAGCTGCTCACCATCCATCCAGCAGGAGGAGGAGCCAGTTCCTCAGGGTTCAGTTGAACAAAAATGTCCATCGACTCCAGTTCCAAAGGCCTCATCATCTAGGAGGCAGCAGAAGCACCTGTCGCCACAGAGCAGCATGGTCAGTGTGGCAGGCAGTGCTGCTTCTGAACACATAGCCAAGAAGTCCCCCAGAAGACAAACACAGGATTGCCTGAGGTAAGCATTGGTTAGTGGGGAGGGGGCTGTCACAATGGAGCAGGGGGAGAAAACATTTTTCACCATGAGGGCCACCCTCCTTTTGGGACTTCCTGGGAGCCATGTGCCAGGGGGTGGGACCCAGAGTGTGGGAAGAATCTGGGACCTGGTGTCCTCCACGTTTTATTGAGATTTGACTCCCATCATCACCAGCCAGCAAGCCAAGAGAAATGAGTCCCTGGCCCAGTGACCAGGTATGGTGGGAGTGCTACTTCTTAAGAGCAGAGCAGGGGGAAGAACCTGTGGTCCTTCAGACATCATTGGATTACAGCTCCCATCATCCCTGACCATTGGCCATGCTGGCTGAGGTTGACAGCAGCTGGAGTACAGAAATATATGGAGAACAACTGCATCCGCATCTCTGCTCGGGGGCCAATGAAAGCCCTGAGAAGCAGCTCTCCTCTGCTTGGAGATAGGATTGGAGAAAGAGGTTTGGGACTGGGCAGGCCTCATTATGTTCTGGATGTTATGAACAGGAGCACAATGAAACTAGGAGGCTGAAGTAATTTGGGAATGGTGCAACTTGAGTCCAAATTAAACCAATTTTAGGAGCCCCTGTTCTGAATAGAGATGGGAGGGATCTTGCCTGTCCTTGCTTGTGACCCATGGAGTGAAACATACAGCCCATATGCCATGTATTCTAAGCTGAACCTAGCTCACAGATTTGTTTTGAGGATAAATATTGGGGTGGAGATGTCCTCAGCTTCATGAAGGAAATAACAAATAAAAATGTTTATATATATATCCTTTGTTGCCTCAAAATAGGGTTCTTTTTGAGGAAATTCAGGCAATCATTTAACCGCCTCAAGGATAAGATATATTTTTCAGCCTGTGGGCCACATTCATTTCTGGGCAGCCTTCCAGGGGCCGCATGCCTGTGATTGCCTGAGTTGGTGGCAAATGTGGGTGGAACAAAGGAAGTAAATTTTCCCCTTGTACAGTACACTATTTTATACTTACTCACTCACATAACTCTCTTGATTTTCCATTCAGGCAAGCCAGGGGCACTATTAAAATCCAAGGACATGTCCCAGCCAGGAAAAACACCCAAGAAGGATGCAAATATGGGCCCATCAGGGAGTGGGGGTGGCATCAGAAGAGTCCTGAGGGCCAAGTAGAAAGGCTTGGAGGACTGCATTCAGCCCCTGGACTTGACATTCCCCACATCTTCTTTTTCCCTCTCTTGCAGAATTTACGCCTTGTTTCCCCAGAGACAGACAGTGGATTTGTGGGATCAGAAGCCAGCAGGGTGTCCCCGTTGGCACAAATGCCAAAGCACTATACATCCAAGTTTAGGTATGAACCCGCCCTCCCTCCCTTCTTTTCCTATGAGCTGTGTTAATTCCCATAATTCTGTCCCTGAGTTGGCAGTGAACAGGAGGAAGTATATAGAAGATACCTGAAGGCAAAAAGTGGGTGAAACCAGGAACTGGGTTGGCATCCAGCAATATTCAGATAAAGGAAAGTGTGGTTGGAAAACCTGAGCATGAAAATGACCAAATTGATTGCAACCTTTGAAGCTGTTGGAAGTTCATTTGTGTTGGGATATTTGATCTCTTGTATCAGCTTTAGTTTGACTTACAGCAGAATCTGGTTATCTCCTGCTTGGACTACTGCAATGCGCTCTACGTGGGGCTACCTTTGAAGGTGACCCGGAAACTACAACTAATCCAGAATGCAGCAGCCAGACTGGTGACTGGGAACGGCCGCCGAGACCATATAACACCGGTCTTGAAAGACCTACATTGGCTCCCAGTACGTTTCCGAGCACAATTCAAAGTGTTGGTGCTGACCTTTAAAGCCCTAAACGGCCTCGGTCCAGTATACCTGAAGGAGCGTCTCCACCTCCATTGTTCTACCCGGACACTGAGGTCCAGCGCCGAGGGCCTTCTGGCGGTTCCCTCACTGCGAGAAGCCAAGTTACAGGGAACCAGGCAGAGGGCCTTCTCGGTAGTGGCGCCCTCCCTGTGGAACGCCCTCCCACCAGATGTCAAAGAGAACAACAACTACCAGACTTTTAGAAGACATCTGAAGACAGCCCTGTTTAGGGAAGCTTTTAATGTTTGATGTATCACAGTATTTTAATATTCTTTTGGAAGCCGCCCAGAGTGGCTGGGGAAACCCAGCCAGATGGGCGGGGTATAAATAATAAATTATTATTATTATTATTATTATTATTATTATTATTATTATTATTATTATTATTATCAGATTTCAATTCTAGACTTGCACACTTGGGAGTATGGCCAGCTGAAGCCATTGGGGCTTCCTCTTGAGTAGACATGAATAGCATGGGTCAGGATTCTATGGTCTTGCAGGTATCACTGGACTCCTACCATCATCCTTGATCACTATCATGCTGACTGGGGCTAAAGGAAGTTAGGGTCCAAGGACATTTGGCTCTCCTCCTCTGCACTATTTTTTATTAGTAGTATTGCTATTATTTCATTGACTTTTTATCCCATCCTTGCTTAGGAGCCAAGGAAAGTTATAGAACATTATAAAAGACCCATGTCTTCACAGTCATTAAAACAGTTAAAACTACATCTCTTAAAAGCCGCTTTGTAGAAGAAGTCCCTCAAAAAGAAGGGTACACTTTTTAAAATAAAAATAGCCTGCAGAATGTCCCAGGTTCAGTCCCCAGTATTTCTAGATAGCGCTGGGAAAGCTGAGCTAGAAGGACACAGAGATCTGACATGTATAAAACAACTTTCTGTGTTCCCTTTTCTTGTCAAGGTCCCACAGCATGCTGGGAAATTCAACCTCTGTTGATGTAGACTTCCAAGAAGAATCGATAAGGAAAGCGCCTGTCACATTGGAATCATTGGAAACAGACAGGTCACCCAGGCACACACAATCAGACAATGGGATGCAGAAACAAGGCCTCTCCAAAGGAAGACCTTTCCAGATTAACTCCCCTACCAGGTGGACCAACAGCATTGCCAGTGAGATGGAGCCAGGCATGGATAGTGGTGAGCTAAAAGCAATTAATTGCTTTGAGCAGGAATGCCAGGTCATGTGCCTTTTCTTATTTGAGGTCTTTCCTAACATTCTGCCCCTCAGTACCTTGCTAGCTGCACTACCCAGAACATTCACTCACATAAAGCACTAGCACATGCACACACATGCAGCCTGGCCAGGCTGTACCACCTTACTGTACCTGGATCCCTGAAACACCTTGCAAAGATCAAACAACACCCCTGAATCGTGGACCTTTTACAAGGCCTAGTGCTGGGTCAGTTTCAACATGCTGCAACATGTATTTGTTCTGTGCCATCCTAAGCACATAGGGACGCAGGTGGTGTTGTGATCCAAACCACAGAGCCTAGGGCTTGCTGATCAGAAGGTCGGCGGTTCGAATCCCCGTGACGGGGTGAGCTCCCGTTGCTCGGTCCCTGCTCCTGCCAACCTAGCAGTTTGAAAGCACACCAAAAAGTGCAAGTAGATAAATAGGTACTGCTCCAGCAGGAAGGTAAACAGCGTTTCTGTGCGCTGCTCTGGTTCGCCAGAAGCGGCTTGGTCATGCTGGCCACATGACCCAGAAAAACTGTCTGTGGACAAATGTCGGCTCCCTTGGCCAGTAAAACGAGATGAGTGCCACAACCCCAGAGTCGTTCATGACTGGACTTAACTGTCAGGGGTCCTTTACCTTTCTTTCTTTCTTTCTTTCTTTCTTTCTTTCTTTCTTTCTTTCTTTCTTTCTTTAAATCCTAAGCACTTTCCTCGCTCCCTGCATCCAGTTGTAGGGAAAGAGAGTTTGTCAAGAGTGGTGAGCACTGGAGACTTTGTGATGCACATGTTGGCTAGTAATCAGCTCTTGGAGTCACAGGGGAAGTGCTTGTACGGGTGAAGGTGCCATTGCATGCACCTGCCTTGCATGCAGAAGATCCCAGGCTCATTCCTTAGCATCTCCAGGTAGGGCTGGGATAGAGACCCATGTATGAAGCCCTGGAGACCTGCTGCCAATCAGTATAGGCAATACTTAGCTAGATGGACTAATGATCTGGCTCTATATAATGCAGTTTCCAAAGTGGAAAGATCCATGATTCATGCATTGCTGTGATTCCTGGATTGCAGAGGAGTTGTTGTTGTTTTATTAAGTTATTAAACTTACTAGTCTCTTATCCCCCCAAAGTGCCCAGGTGACTTACAGCAGGTGTGCGCATGCACACACACAACCATAAGGGAAGAAAAAAGAGAGGAAGGGTCATTCAATACATCACTATATCATCTAGCATAACATTTATGAAAAAAACAAAAGCACACCCACCATATAATTAATAACAGACAATATTAACCATGCATAAATAATAAACAAATAATACTCCCACCCACTAATTAGCAGATAAGCAACTGTTTTCCCCCTTTTAAACTCCCCTCCCCACCCAGAATCAGTCTAGAATCAGGCCAGCTGTTGCAAACCAACAGTGTGTGGGCCCCACATCCTCAACCCAGGGATGGTCCTGCTCCTCTCCTCTGCCTTTGCTAGGCAAAGCAGGAAAAGGTTGGCAAAAGATTTGCCTGCTTTGCAGTTCACCCAGCTACTGCTTATCTTCTGCTGCTACTGGTGGCCCTTGGGGGTCCCTTCTAACCCTATGATGTGTTTCTGGCTCTTTTCTCACCAGCTCACACAGACTCTGAGGCTGAGGCCCAGGCAAGACTTGACACTTACAATGTGCCTGCTGACGAAGCAAGACATTCTCCTAGCTCCTCTGCCGTTTCGCTGCCCCCAGACCAGACTCATGACTACAGTCTCCTTGACACCCGCGTGCACCGAGCGTAAGTTTCCTCTTTGGAATGGTGGGGGCCCTGGGTGAGAAACACAACAGATCCTAGATGAGGAACCTCAGGCCAAGGTGGCCAAGGCAGTCCCTCAGACCACTTTGTCTGGCCCTCAGAACTCTCCCCAGACCACACCCATCACTGAGTGATGGTGCTTTGTACCTTCCTCAAGTCTTTTGGGCAAAATGGAAGGTGTCCATGAACTCCTACAGTGCTCCTCACTTCCCTTCATGGAGGATGGAGGGGGGATGTTCAAAGGAAAAAAGCCATCTGAATAAAGCTAAAATCAGCATTCATTGCTCTGCCCACTTTTTGCTTCGGGTCCTTGGACATCACTATTATGTGGCCCCTGGAAGGTTGCCTGGAAGGGAGTGCAGCCCTCAAGGTGAAAAAGCTTCCCCTCCCCTGGTCTGCACTAACTGGCAGCAAACCTCCAGGTTTTTGGGTCAGTCCCTTCCAGCCTTGCCCAGAGATACCAGGGACTGAGCCTTCTGTGTGCAAAGCAGATGTTCCACCACTGAGCTACGGCCCTTTCCTCCAGAGGAGAAGGCATCAATTTTAACCCTTTTTAGGGGAACATTTTCTCCATGCTCTGGCAAGCTTGCATTCAGCTACCAGCCTGGGAGCTTTCCATCATTCTTAAGAGCTAACTCCTGCAGTAAAAACATTCCATCTGCAAGCTGGTTATGCTTTGTACTTACTCTGTAAAAACTGTAAACAGAAGCAGCCTCACTAAGAGTGCAGTTGTTAGGATTTTTCCAAAGTGGATGCCCTATCACCAAGCTATGACCCTTCCACTATTGTGTGTACAATTTGGGTTGCTGGACATGTATAGCATGCCTAAAATTAATATCTCTCGTCATGCTAGGTCCTGATTTTAACTGATCCTGGGCTGGGGGTTGTTTTTGTCCCTTTAACAGCCAGGCTATCAGAGCTTTGCAGCATGAAGTCCACCAGCTTCGCCAAGTCCTGGAGAAGACCCTCCAGCAGCCTCATGGTTATCCAAAGCGGCCACCCTCCGCACATACCTCTACACTCCAGATGCCAAGACAGGACAGGACCCGCCTCCCCAGAAGTGCCAATTCAATAGGGTAAGCAATGGGCAGAGCTTGTTCCAGGTTTGAGGGTAGCCCAGGCAGCCTCTCCTTTCTCCATCACTGTCTCCTGATGGCAGCCAGGGCAGGTTCATGTAAGGATTTTCCCACAATGCCTCTGGCAAAGCATTTCTTCAGAGAATGGTGGGGAGTTAAAATGGCTGCTAGATTCAGCTGCCTTATGCTACTTGAAGGGGCAGGCTGCTGGAGGGGCAGGTGCCAGCAACATACCGTATTTTTCGCTCCATAGGGCGCACCGGACCATAGGGTGCACCTAGTTTTTAGGGGGGGGGGAATCAAGAAAAAAAATCTTATGGATCCCGCTCGCTGTTTTGGCTTCCTCTTTAGTCCCACGCAACCTCTCCCTGCTGGGAGAGGCTGTGCGGGGCTAAAGAAGCCATAGCCCCGTGCAGCCTCTCCCTGCCGAAGGGGTTGCGCGCGGCTATGGAACAAGACAAGGCAGCCAGCGGGATCCATCCTGCTGGCTGTTTTGGCTTCCTCTTTAGCCCCACGCAACCTCTCCCTGCCGGAAGAGGCTGCACAGGGCTAAAGAAGCCATAGCCACGTGCAGCCTCTCCCTGCCGGAGGGCTGCACGCGGCTATCCCTGAAGCCGGAGAGCGAGAGGGGTCGGTGCACACCGACGCCTCTCGCTCTCCAGGCTTCAGCGAAAGCAACGCGAAGCCTGGAGTGCTCCCTCTGCCCTTCAGAGGCTTAGCGTTGCTATCGCTGAAGCCAAGGAGCCTGCATTCGCTCCATAGGACGCACACACATTTCCCCTCAATTTTTGGAGGGGGAAAAGTGTGTCCTATAGAGCGAAAAATACGGTACTTTACCTGGACCTAGGGGCCCTGGCACCTGCCTGAAGATGCTGGGTATTGACACCCTGAACAGCAACAAGTGTCTTCTCTTTGGTGCCATCTGCTGCCCATGCAATGCCCCAGAAGCCCAGCTTTCTTTCTTGCCTTTATTTACACCAGGCATCAGCTGGAAACCTGCTGGAAACCTGAAATATGATTTATTGTTTGTTGAGACTAATGATATCCTATAATTTTTCACATACAAGGTCATTTTTAGTCAAACACTTGGTAAGCTTCTGTTGCAAAAAAAGGGGGTGGTCTTGGAGCCCTGATATGCAGAAGAGAGAGGGGCACTGCAGAGGTATAGACCCCTTACTTGTGCCCACCACTTCTTCCCTTTTAAATTTTCTCTCACAGACACACACTCTCTAACTCAGATTTGCAGTAGGTAAGCAGAAATTCTCTGCCCTGTGCTTGCTGCTGCTCATGTAAGGAATGGTGCAGTGTGCCTAAAACAATTCACTGTCTTGCAGGTCCAACCACATCCCCACCTCATCTCGCAGCAAAACATCCGGGAAGAGCACAGCTGACCCTGACAGTCCAGCTCTGTTGATCAAGCCAGAAGATTGGATAAAGAGATCAAACCTGCAAGATGGGATCCAGCTGGATCTCAGTAAGCAACAAAAATGTTTGTGGTGTGCATTAGGTTGGTTTGGTTATGCAAAGAGATGCATTTTATTCAGAGGGTGAACATAGGCATGCCTTTCAGAAGGATGTGCTGTCTGTGCTTCTGTTCCTCATATAAGCCTGCCAGGACCCTAAGGTCCTTTTCTGCATGCCACCTTTGAAGGATGTCCTGAAGAACGAAGTACCTTGGAAGGTTTTTAAGCAGAGGTTGGGTGGCCATCTGTCAGGGATGCTTTAGTTGTCATTCCTGCATTGCAGGGCGTTGGACTAGTTCTGGGATTCTATGAGGGGGGCAGTGAGAGAACAGTAGCACCTCCCGCACCTATTGTACAAACTGCTCTGGTGCCAACCTTGACATTTATTTGAGGCAAATATGTTTTCTTTTTCCTGGGCATTTGGGTATCACCAGTCATTGTACTGTTAAATTTGGGTGGGTATGTTTCATTTTGTTTTTTAAAAAAAGTTTATGTGATTTTTATTTGTGTTTCTTTACAGTGGTTGCAAATTGCTCCAGACTTCTTTTTTAAGGGAAGCAATGTATGAATTAAATAAGCCTAACCTAAACCCTTTCCAGCTTTTCATTGTCAGTGACATCTCATGCACTAGCCCATCAGTGTTGTGCTCCAAACCAACAGCACTTGATTCCCTTAGACTTGATTCTGTGTAATGAAGTGACTGCTATTCTATGCGCATATGAGGACTGAGGGTGTCCTCACCTGTGTTGTTTGCAGGCCCTTCAGAGTCAGACTACTCACCACCAAAGCCATGGAAAGGGAAACGCCAGGAAACTTCTGCTTCTAGGAAAGAATCCCCAGAGCAGCCCATCCTCTGGGGGCCCTACACTGGTGAGCAATGGGCACCTGAGCCTGCTTTTATTTACCAAATCAACTACCCCAGGAAGGACTAGACAGGTAGCAGTGCACTGCGCTAGGAAGGCTGGGTTGAATTTCCATGCGAATAAAAATTTGGCCTAAATTTTAGGGGAGGGTATGGGAAGCAAATGGGACACGGGTGGCGCTGTGGGTTAAACCACAGAGCCTAGGGCTTGCCAATCAGAAGGTTGGCGGTTCGAATCCCCGCGACAGGGTGAGCTCCCGTTGCTCAGTCCCTGCTCCTGCCAACCTAGCAGTTCGAAAGCACATCAAAGTGCAAGTAGATAAATAGGTACCACTCCGGTGGGAAGGTAAACAGCGTTTCCGTGCGCTGCTCTGGTTCACCAGCTGGCCACATGACCCGGAAGCTGTACGCCGGCTTCCTCGGCCAATAAAGCGAGATGAGCGCCACAACCCTAGAGTCCGTCACGACTGGACCTAATGGTCAGGGGGTCCCCTTACCTTTACCTTATGGGAAGCAAAAGAGGGGAGCAGAACTGCCTTTGTAATTTTCAGGGGAAATTTGCTCTGATTTGTGGCAATAATTTCTCCTCCCCTCCTCTCCAGGTGGAGGGGACGAATGGTGGTCCCCACTGAAAAAGCTACCAAGCAAATCATCATCATCCTTTCAGTTTGTCAGTTGCTTGGCACCAAATGTCTCCAGGCAACCTACAAAATTTAAAAACATAAAGTGTGGCATAAAATCAGAAAAAAGAACAATGCGTTACAATAAAAGCTATACAATAATAATACTAATTATAATAATAATCTATTATTTATACCCTGTCCATCTCGCTGGGTTTCCCCAGCCACTCTGGGCGGCTTCCTACAAAACACTAAAATACAATAACCTATTAAACATTAAAAGCTTCTCTAAACAGGACTGCCTTTAGATGTCTTCTAAAAGTTTGGTAGTTATTTTTCTCTTTGACATTCGGTGGGAGGGCGTTCCACAGGGCAGGTGCCACTACCGAGAAGGCCCTCTGCCTGGTTCCCTGTAACTTGGCTTCTCACAGTGAGGGAACCACCAGAAGGCCCTCGGCGCTGGACCTCAGTGTCTGGGCAGAACAATGGAGGTGGAGACGCTATAACATAAGAAGACCCCTGCTGCATTAAACCAAAGGCCCATCGAGTCCAGTGTTCTCTTCCCACAAGGGAAACCAGATGTCTGGGGGTGTATGTATCAAGTTTCTTTGTTTCGATTTCTGTAGGAACCCAGTATTCTTTTTCAAGTCCCAAGTCGCAAGAACCAAAGACTCCCAAAAGCTCTGCCCCGTGCCCCTATTGCCAAGAGGTCAAGTCACGGCTTGAAGACGTACCCACAAGAAACCAAGATGCCAGAGGCTACAAAGGTATCATAAGAAGAGCCCTGCTGGAGTTAGACCAGCATTCTATTCTCACAGTAGCCAGCCAGATGCTCCACTGCGAAGCCCACAAGCAATAGCACTCCCCCCATTTGTGATTCCTAGCAACTTGTATTCAGAGGTTTACTAACAGTAGACGTAGAACATAGCCATCATGGTAAGTAGACACTGCTAGCCTTATTGTCCACAAATGTGTGCAACCCTCTTTCAAAGCCATCCAGGTTGGTTGCTATTGCTGTATCTTGTGGGAGCAAGTAGTTTTAACTCTGTGCTGTGTAAATAGGTACTTTCTTTAGTCTGTCCTGAGTCCTCTAAAATTCAGCTTCATTGGATGTTCATGAGTTGTGGATCTGCTTTCTTCACATCATCTGTCATGTTGCCTCCTTCTCTCCTTTGCTTTAAACTAAAGATGCCCAAACTCTGAAACCTTACCCCATAGGGGAGTTGCTCCATCCCCTTGATCATTTTGCTTGTCTGTGAGGCAGTAATAGGAGTTGTAATCAAATAGAATCTGGAGGGCCACAAGTGCCCCGTCTCTGTTTGCACAATCCAGACCACAGAGCAGGGCAGGATTCGCAGTGGCAGCAAAGTGGCTTGCTTATGTGAGCAGTCCACTCTGTTGGAAGAACAAGGAAGTCAGAGTCTGTGAGCAGGGTATGTTCTGAATCAGGAGTCCCACACAGCAACTGATAAGAAAAATTAGCCCATAACTTACACCACCAAATGGATCACTGAAGCAAATGTGGAACGAATCAGGTGCTGAATGTTGTGTCTCTGCTGGCTCTTCACCTTAAATTTCCTCTTGACTTTTCCCTTTTTACAATTCTGGCGCTTAGCAACAGGTGGAATAGTGCCACAGGAATCATTATCCTTGGTTAAATGTTAACTGGTACCTGGTGAATTTCTGCATTCCTAAATTAAGGACTCGGTCTACATGTCTTTTCTTTTTTAAAAAAACTTTTTTTAGGAGATTAAAAATAAATAAATCTGGGTCAGCAGTTTCAGCAGAAACTGAGAACGACTGGCTTGTCCAAGACTTATCTAATGAGTTCTATGCTTGAGGCATAGGCACCAGGTGCCAGGGCCTTGGGTGCTGTAGCACCCACAAAATTCACTCTGAGGGAGCTAGGCACTCACAAATTTTGGTGGTGGACATGCCTTCAACATCAGCACGCCCAGAGGCACTCATGTCCAATGTCATGATTAATTTATAGCTCAATATCTTAGCTGCTTCCACATACTGGTAGTTGTTTGGTTTTTTTTAAAAAAAAAAACCCTCTCCAAGGCTCTGGTTCTGTGTTTTCTTGCTTTTGGATTTGGGGTGGAGGGTCCTTGTGGCAAGATGAATTACTTTGTCTTTCATATCTAGGCTGTGACTCCCCAAGGGATTCATTTGGACCCTTCTACCAAAGCACTCCAAAGAAGTCAGAAACACCAAGCCATCTGTGCAAGGATACCAGGAACCCCAGGAGCAAAGTAGTGCATGGTGAGGAAGGGAAATTCTGGTGTGAAAACTGATGCTGTGTTGGCAAACTAGAGCGCGGGTCCTGACGAGGGCAGCAAGGATGGTGAGGGGTTTGGAAACAGTTCCCAAGAGGAATGTTTTTGTTTATAAAACTATAAGATGAGGCTGCTAGCTCAAGCCAACAGCTCATCTAGCCTAGCATCCTGTTCTCATAGTGGCTGACCAGAAGCAGGACCTGACCACAACAGCACTTTCCCCACCTGCAATTCCCAGCAGCTGGTATGTGTCACCTCTGACAGTGAGATGTGTCACCTCTGACAGTGGAGGTAGAACATAGCCATCATGCCTGGTAGCCATTGATTTGTAAACTGCCGACACATTTTTAGAAATCAAGTAACAATAAAACAATTCAGGCATTGTATAAATGTTATGGTCGTAAAACAGAGAACAAATGGCCAAAGTTGAGACAAATTAATTCTCTGAAAAGTACTTAGTGAAATGGAAATGTTTTTGGAAATGCTTCAAGGGGAAGAGTGTTCCAGAGCATCTGTGCCACTGAACTTCCACGGACACTAAACAAAATATGAGATACGTGTTGGACACTTGGGGCTTCTCGAGACTGGGGTGAGATTTTTGTGTGTGTATTCTGCAAGATGTCATTGAAAACACACATATGCACACAGAGGGCTGCTGCCCCTGCTCACTCTACTCACCAACCCCTCTGCCCCTATACTTGGCCAACCCTTCCTCCCTTTACATCTGAGCAAACTCCCTTCCTTTACACCACGCACACCCCCTTGGTATCCCCTTTATAGCTCGCTCCTAGTCCTCCTCCTCACAGCTCACCCCAGCTTCAACCCCCTTTCAAAGGAGAGTGGGAGTTGCTCTCTGAAGTGCCTCCCACTTTCCTTTATAGTAAGATATCAATTCCTCCAATTATTGTAAAAACCTGCAGGTTTTTTAAATAAAATATATATGAGATATACGGTATATTAGAACAGACGAATAAAAGAATAAGTTAAAACAATTTGGAGTATACAGGAAAGGATGAAAATAAATGTAAGGAACCGCAGAAAGAGGGGGAAAGGAGTCAAAATTGAAAATGTTAAAACTTGGCAAACATTGTTGTAATGTATATAAATGAAAATTATGAATAATAATAATAATCAATTCCTCCCAGTTCTGTCTAAGGAGAATTTTAGATCTTGTTTTCTCATTTGCCCCCAGGGGTGGACCATGGTGCAGGGGACAAAGCAGAGCAAAGTTCTGGACCACAGCAGAACCCCAGCAATCACCATCAATCACAGCAGCCTGGACTCTGGTATCTGGCACTCCCAAGCTCTGCTGCCTCCATCAGCTATGTCCCCATGGTTCCCTACCCTCCAGCGCCTATAATGTAAGAACCACTCATTCAGGTCTTTGTTCAGTGAGAATTCTGAGAGATATGACTTTTTCCCTTATTGTGTTGACCCCAACAATGGTGAGCCTATGGCCCTCCAGATATTGCTGGACTAAAACTTTCCATCAAGCTCCAGATAACATGGACAGTGATCAGGAGTGGTGTTGTAGTCTGCCTCTATAAGGCCTCCTACTCTGATGTTGGCTTGTTCCCTGCCACCGATGCCTCCAAAACTCATTTGGGAAGGTACCATTGTTCAGTGAGAGAGCACATACCTTACCGGCAGAAGTCCCCAGGTTCTGTCCCTAGCACCTCCAGTAAGAAGGATCAGGTAAAAGGATGAAAAAGACCCTTGCTCTTCCTGAGATTCTGGGGAGCTCCTGGCCAGTTAGTGCAGACCCAGGGCTGGGAACCTCAGACTCAGGGTCTAAATGTGCCCCTCTAAGCTTCAGTGTCTGGTCCGCTGGACTCTCCCAAGGCTACACCCCTCACTTAGCCCTATTGCATACCCCTCCTTGAGTGTTTTTGCCTGGTTGGTTGGTTTTTTTAACTCTGATGATGCCTCTTGCTTATCTGGAGGACGGGGGGGGGGCATGAATGTGTGTAATAGCAGCCCACTCCACTAAAGTAGCATTTATATTTGTTGTTCTGCCCACTTTATCCTCTGGCCCTGCCCGTCACTGGCATGTGGCCCCCAGAAGGTTGCACAGATGGGAATGCAGCCCTCTGACTGAAAACCGCCCCCCACCCTGTGTGAGTGTCTGGAGGCGGTTGGAGGATGGATAGCAGCTAACAGATTGAGGTCGAATCCAGACAAGACAGAAGTACAGTGGTACCTCGGGTTACATACACTTCAGGTTACAGACTCTGCTAACCCAGAAATATTACCTCAGGTTAAGAACTTTGCTTCAGGATGAGAACAGAAATCGTGCTCTGGCAGTGCGGCGGCAGTGGGAGACCCCATTAGCTAAAGTGGTGCTTCAGGTTAAGAACAGTTTCAGTTAAGAACAGACATCCAGAACAAATTAAGTACTTAACCCAAGGTACCACTGTACTGTTTTGGGGGGACAGGAGGCGGGCAGGTGTAGAGGACTCCCTGGTCCTGAATGGGGTAACTGTGCCCCTGAAGGACCAGGTGCGCAGCCTGGGAGTCATTTTGGAAACGCAGCTGTCCAAGGAAGCGCAGGTCAATTCTGTGTCCAGAGCAGCTGTTTATCAGCTCCATCTGGTACGCAGGCTGAGACCCTACCTGCGCGCAGACTGTCTCACCAGAGTGGTGCATGCTCTAGTTATTTCTCACTTAGACTACTGCAATGCGCTTTATGTGGGGCTACGTTTGAAGGTGACCCAGAAACCAAAACTAATCCAGAATGCGGCAGCTAGACTGGTGATTGGGAATGGCCGCCAAGACCATATAACACCTGTCTTGAAAGACCTACACTGGCTCCCAGTACGTTTCCAAGCACAATTCAAAGTGTTGGTGCTGGCCTTTAAAGCCCTAAACGGCCTCAGTCAAGCATACCTAAAGGAGCGTCTCTACCTCCATTGTTCTGCCCAGACACTGAGGTCCAGCGCCGAGGGCCTTCTGGCTGTTCCCTCGCTGCGAGAAGCCAAGTTACAGGGAACCAAGCAGAGGGCCTTCTCAGTAGTGGCACCCGCCCTGTGGAACGCCCTCCCACCAGATGTCAAAAAGAAAAGTAACTACCAAACTTTTAGAAGACATCTGAAGGCAGCCCTGTTTAGGGAAGCTTTTAATGTTTAATAGGTTATTGTATTTTAGTGTTCTGTTGGAAGCCGCCCAGAGTGGCTGGGGAAATCCAGCCAGATGGACAGGGTATAAATAAATTATTATTATTATTATTATTATTATTATTATTATTATTATTATTATTATTATTATTAATATTACCCTTGGTGTAGGCAATACTGAACTAGATGCATAAATGCTTTCATCTAGTGTAAAGGTTTATTCAGACCCTCCCCTTCTTTTTCTATTCGCCAGCTATTGTTCTCCACTTGCACCTCAGGTCTCCTCCCCTGTTGCTGTCCCTAGCAGGCCCCAGGCCACAGAGCTGAAAACCTCGGCTTCTCGGCACCAAATGCAAGAGGGTTCCTGCTGCTCCATGACTCTGGACTGCGCTGGTCTGCAGGACCTGAACAGGTCTCTGAGCCGCGCCATAGTAGCTGCGAGAGACATGAAGCTCACTACCAAGCGGATCAGCCGGTCTCTGACTTCAGATGTGAACAAAGGGAGGCACCAGCGGAGATCCTGCCTCTTTTAGCAAGAGAGCCAAGTGGATGGACACCTCCTCTACTGGTTTAGCTGGAATTGCAAAAAAAAAAACCTGGCCAGAGCTCCCCAAAACATAACATGAGGGAGATATTCACATAACATTCTTGGTCTTTTATGTGCCAAAGAGCACCACCATAGAGCCCCTAACTCACTGTGGAGGTGTCCCATTTTTGGGTGCCCGACAGCCTCTTAAGCATTGTGGAGGTGCTCAAGTCTCTAGGCTGTGTGTGGCGCCTGTCTTAATACACACTGGGAGCCTTCAAAGATTGTGGAAAGGGACTGCTGCTGCACTTCCCCTTCACTCCCACCCCCTGAACAAGCAACTTAACGTCGTGTCACGAAAGCCATCTCTGCCCTTATTTTGCGCGTCTTAAAAGGGCAAATTTCCAAGCAGTTTGGGGAAAGATGTGGCATTTTCGCGGACTAGGGGTTTCTTTATTTTTCCAATGGACATTGAGGGTAGTGTATCTCTCTTAATGTTGGCAGGGGGCTTGGTGGTGGGTCCTTAGGTCAGCCTTAGATATTCCAGTGCTGGGTGTCCTCTACCTGCCTGTTCCTCTTTTCTCACCTTACCTCAACTGTATTTTGCCTTAAAAATGGAAGTCTTAAAAGCTCCTTTGGGGGCATAGTGGCAGAAGCAGAACATATTCTGGCACACTGAGGCCATGTGAAGATGGTACTTCTTCTCCCCTCGATTTATTTTCAGGGAATTGAAAGGCCCTATGGGGGTGGTCAGCAAATGGCTTGTTGTCCAGCAGACAATTCTGGCACCTGCTGCAGAGTTATCCCACTTTAGCACCCTTCATCTCCTAGGAAGATGAAGATGATATTGGGCATAAGCAGTGGCCAGTGGCTGTTCAGATCCTTTAAGGCTATGCTCTTCCTCTACTGGTGGAACAACTGTGTCTTTGAATGCCACCTGCTGGGAAGTACAAATGGTTCTGCTTTTGGACTTCCCACTGGGACATATGTTGGTCATTGGGAAAACAGGATGCTAAGCTACATGGGCCATTGGCTTGATCCACCAGGGCTCTTACGTTTTTATCCTGATTGTCTTGCAGGAAGGTCTACTACCTCCTCCATGCTGTTGCTGAACTGATCTCATTCACTGTAAACATACAGCACTGTATCCAATGTTTGTCATTCTTAAGAGCAGACTCACTGAAACTAATGCACATAACTTAGGTTCATTAATTCCGGTGGAACTAGTCTGAATACAACCCCTTACAGGGTACTGTCCTACTTACAAGGCTCAATAAGCTGAGAGTAGGACATAAAAGTTTTTGGGTGGTCCTCTTAAGGGCCGTGAGTCTATTGCAATACTTACCTCAGGACTCTTCGTGATGCATGAGAGAAAGAGCTCTATTTTGTGAAGGGGTAGCCATGGTGAATCGTTTTCAGAGATATGTGTATATGTGTTTGGGTGTGTGTATTTGTTTTTTTACACGTGTGGTTTCAATTGCTGTTTGGTTTGGTACTATGGAATGGAAACAATGAGCATTTTGTATGTCAACTCTTTTGGGGTTTTTTGCCTTCAAGAATGTCTTCAAAATATATTTTGCCAGAATACTTTTCTCTCCCTCCCCATTTCCTTGTGCCCATTAGGTTGTTTGTGTGTGCTTTAAGAACTTTGGGCAAGCAGCCACTCCGAGGTCCAACACATTGTAGGCAGTTTGCCAAGACCAAATGCAATCAATAAGCATTGGGGGGCAGTAGATATATAACAGTATCAGACACTTTTTGCTGTCATTGTCAGGGCAAAGTTGATCAATATTTAAGACAGAACAGATATCAGTGGTGAGCAACCTTCAGCCTGCAGGCCTGATTAGGCCTGCCCACCCTCCTCATTTTGCCCACAAGGCTGGTTTGCCCAAGAGGCACTTAAATTTACAACTAATGTCATATGCAGTATCAGGAGCAGGAGAGATAAAGAGGTGTCAGAGCTGGGAGGGAGTTTGTGCGTAGCCCCCATAAGCTGTCATATCAGGGCTTTGCCAGCACCAATGTTCGGCTGATCACTGGGTCTTGTAGAATATTCCTCTATTACATGCAATAGGATTCCTTCTGGGCACATGATCGCTACCCAGGAATTTGTGATCAGTAGCAGAAACAAGCTTCCTCCCACAAACCAACACATAGTTTTCCCCTAGGCATTCTTTTTCAGCAACCTAAGGCCCACCTGCATCATATATTGAGGCGGTATGAAACTGTATTCAAGCAGTCATGTGTTCCCCCGAAGAATCCTGGAAACTGTGGTTTGTTAACGGTGCTGAGAGTTCTTAGGAAATTCCCTATTCCCCTCTTTGCAAAGAGTCAATCCCTCTTTGCAGGGAATTCTGGGAACTGCAGCTGTGTTGAAAAGCACCTCTCAGCACCCTGAACATACTACGGGTCCCAGGATTCTTCAGGGGAAGCCACAACTGTTTAAAGTGGTATAATGCTGCAGTCAATGTATAGTGCAGATAGGACCTCACCTTTAAGACAGCAGCCTTTGGGTTCTTGTTATTAGACCATTGGGAGTTAGAAACCCTAGCTGATCTGTTGGGGCTAACCCAGAGGTTTCCTAGGAGAGCCTGTTCTACCTTCTGCCAATCACTGAATTAAGCAACCGCTTAAACGCAGCTGGGAAGTTGAGGCTACCTTGGCTGTTCTTGGTCCTATCCTCACTGCTGCTAATGTTCCATGCTGCCTGTAGATTATGTGAGTTGAGATGTGAGTGCAGTAATAACAGGAATTGACTCAGTCATGAGATGAGTGCCTTAGAAACATTGCAACACAAAGGAAGGGGAAGTGGGCAGCTGGTGATGGATGTCTGTGCCGTTTGCCCCCTGACACCTTTTTAAAATAAACTTTTTGAATCTATAAATATACCTTTATTTTTTTAAGAAAAAAATCATGATGACAGATCCTTCTCAACACTCATACTATCTGTAGAAATGTGCTAAAATGTGCATTATGTTGTAGATAGTTCTCAAAGCACTTTCAGACACAGGGTGTTGGTGTAGGGTGTGTTTTGCATTGGAGCCATTACCACAAACAAAATCACTGTGAAGCTATGATAGTTGTATCTTTTTCAACATTCCTTTAAAATAAAATAAAATAAAAAACAAGCACGTCTCTGGTAATGAATGCAAATGGGTGTTTCTGTTTTTCTTGCTCAATAAATGATTTTTGTCTGTTGGTGTCTTCATTCATTTTTTAAAAAGGGGAAAGATTTCAAACACACACACTGACTCTGTTTGCACATTAAACCTACAATAAGCCAGAAAGTCTTATTTTGTTATCAAGAACAAGTGATGTCCTGTCAGAGTGCTTGTACTTCCAGCTGCCCAATGCAAACAAAACAGACTGTACCAGGTTTTCTTTACATCCAAACCAGGCACTGTGGTTAGTTGCTCCCTTGCAAGCTGTGATTAGCAAGTGAACAACAACATAAAGTTATTTCTTCACATAGCACAATCACACTTTGGAATTCGCTCCAGCTCTGACAGCTCCCAAAAGAAGTAGAGATGGCCACCAATTTGGATGGCTTCAAAAGGTTACAAACCGCCATATTTTTCACTCTATAAGACTCACCAGACCACAAGATGCACCTAGTTTTTGGAGGAGGAAAACAAGAAAAAAAATATTCTGAATCTCAGAAGGCAGAACAGCAAGAGGGATAGCTGCGCAGTGAAAGCAGCAATCCCTCTTGCTGTTCTGGTTTCTGGGATAGCTGCGCAGCCTGCATTCGCTCCATAAGATGCACACACATTTCCCCTTACATTTAGGAGGGGAAAAGTGAGTCATAGAGCAAAAAATACGGTAATTGAGGGACAGCAAGGCTAAGATTGGCTATCTATGATGGCTATGCCTTAACTCCACTGTCAGAGGCAGTATGTCTCTGACTACCAGTCACTGGGGATCACAAGTGAGGAGAGTGCTTTTGCATTCAGAGATGGCTCACTGCCATCTGGTTCACCATGGTAAGACCAAGATGCTGGACTAGATGGGTCTTCGGCTGGATGCAGCAGCTTATGATCTTCACAAGTCATGGCAGCTTCAGGATGGCTACCAATCATAACTTGTTAAGGAGAAGCACAAAGGATCTCCTGGTTATACTATTTACATGCAAGGAGGAATGAAGTACTAGCAATTGGGCGCTGTTTGCTTGCTTTCGATAAAACATGGGGATATTGTTATAGGCAAGCACAGCCTGCACCAGGGCTCTCTTACAAGATAAGAGCAAGATGTGGTTGGCAAATTTTCCTTGGAAATTCACCTGTGGTTGGTCTCCCCCATTCGAAGCATATGCTGCCATTTCAAAATCTTGAAAAAAGTATCAGTAGCATCTTCATGGAGCACCTCATATTTGGACCACAGTTTTAAGATGCAGAACCTTAACTCAAGAGGTGGTGGAGTTTGTCCAAAGGCCTACCTCACAGGGCTGAAGACATATCCAATGAGACAAAATCTAGAAAACACTCTGCAAAGTGAAATATTTCCTTAAGCATCTCTCGGCCTTTTGTCTCCTGCCCCCTCCCCGCACTCCAAACTAGTTCCCATGTCAAATCAATCCTCTTTTACCTCGATCAATGGGACAGTAAATCATTTATTGACTCCAAGTGCTTTTTTTTTAAGTTACAGAAGAACAGCTAAACAGAGATGACACGTTTGTGCTTCAACAGTTCCAAACACTGAAATTTCAAGAATTAAACAAGTTGCATAACAAGAATTTGCTGTTGTTTTCCTCTTTTGATAAAGTGTGTGTGTGAATATATATATATATATATATATACATGTATGTGTGTGTATATATACATATATATCACACCAAAAACAACAAAAACACATCTAAACAAAAGGGAGAGAAAGAGATACCTTGAAGCGGCTGCAATGCTAAATTTAGAAGGGGAAGGCAGGGGGGTGGGAGGGTGCAAGAAAAGGTTGGAGAGCTGGCAAAACAGTTACTGATGCAAAATGACCACAACCATTGCCCGAAAAACAAATATATTATGGGCAAGGGCGGGGGGAAATGGACCACAAAAATAGTAGCGAACAGAAAGAGTATTTTCTTCTCTCTGTTGGGATATTCTAGGAAGAGACATTAATGCCCTGGGACAGGTGTAAGAGGGACAGCCCAAAACTGCAGGGAAGAAAATACAGTTTTTTAAAAATATCACAGTAAGCGAACACAGCCATTGTGGGAGTCAAATGAGAAGAGGACACACAAGGAAGACTCGGTAAACCACTTTACTTCAAGCTTGTTAGGACGACCACAATACACAATTATTTAATTCATATACATACAGTCTGCAGGGGGAGCAGAAGGACCGGCAAAGGGATCTATAAATGCAGAACAATTGGGGATTTTTGGCGCTTGCCACAGCCAGCAATGTTTCACTACTGGATGATGAGAGATAGAAAGGGGGAAGGAATCCAAAGGGTGCAGGGCAAAATTTGATGACGAGAAATGTCATTGTTGACGGCAGGAGAAACTAGACGCTCCAGCTGAGGTTAAGCTTGAGCTTTAGTCAACATGACGCCCCACAGACTGTGGGGACTACATTTCCCAACAACACAGGAAGACGGATGTTGTAGACTGTATATTGTGGGCTACAGTTCCAATCAGCTCCCCACAACCACTGTGGGCTGATGGTCATTGTAGTCCACACTATCTTCAGTCACTATGTTAAATAGGATAGTAATGTTGCTCACTCGAATCCCATATTAGCTCAATAGACATAGAAGCACTTAAACTGTGGCTGCCTGGTTGATTGTGTCATTTCCCAAATCCGTATTGCTACTTCCAGTTCAATCCTGAAATATGTCATGTGTTTATTTTTTATTTTTGCTCCTAAACAAGCCAGGAAGAAATTGGGTACAATCCAGCCCAGAGCTGAGGAAGCTTTTAAGCCCATTTAAAGCTCAATGGTATATTCTTTGTTGGAGAACAACCACAAGGGAGTGCTGTGGGGCCAGAAATGATGTCTGTGGGAAGCATCTAAGTCCCACACAGAGGAGATCCATTAAAAGGAATGTACCTAGGTTGGTCATGCCACCAGGTTTAATGGGTCTACTCTGTGTACTCTGTGTAGGACTAACATTGGATACAGCCTCTAGTTTTCACAGCAAAGATCCTGGTCACTTTGTCTTTGCCCGGGGCAGTGATCTTTCATCATTCTCTCAAAAATGTATTTCCCCTTCCTGACAGTTTTCAAGCCACTTGAGCTCCCTCAAGTCACACAAATGGGAGGGATTAAATGATTCACAACAGCTGACACATTCAGCATCATGCAATCTACACCATGCAGTGTACATCTACACCACCCAGCCAATCTGTCATCTGTCACTGAAAAGAGAAAGCTGTGTAGTCTTGGAGTCTCCTCCTTCCTTAGTAGGCAAAGCAAGGAAGTGCCAACATTGCTTATTACAGGGGCCGCAGATGTGCTGTTGGATGCAAACTCCCATCAGCCCCAGCCAGCATGGTGATGGGAGTTGTAGTCCAGGAATGTCAATTCAATGCAGCACAATGCAGATTTCTGCTTTGTGGGCAGGACAGTCGGGTTGGAGACAGATAAAATATGATTAAAAGAGCGGTGCAAAGAAAGTAGGCCTCTCTGCCCCACACAGCAATGTGTGAATCTGCCAAGCTAGAAGCAAAAGTGGGATGCACAGGATGTGTAGCTTACATCCCACAAGCAGCAAACTCTCTTTCAAACTGACGTCAGCTTCTCTAGAGTCTGCGTTAAGGAATGCAGATTCCAGGGACTCTAGACATGTGCTTGCAAGAGTACAGGGGGCAAAGCTAGAAGGACAGAGGAAACAAGCTGACTATACTACACAGCGTATCACTTTACATGAGCTGCGGCCGCCTCCAGAGAATCACGGGAATTGTGGTTTCAATACAACTTTGCTCTCAGCAAACTACTGAAAGGAAATTGACTCCCAAACCAGAACAAAGTCTATTGAATGAATACACCGTTGCTAGCTGTTGCCTTATGCTTTCATGGGCCAGAAAAGTCTGGAGATCCCGATAGATCCTGCCCAACCAGGGCCTGCCTTCTGGAAGCCGGTAAGAGGAAGCATCCCAGAACCAGAAAATCCTGCCTGCTATTCATTGAACCGTGAAATCAGAGACATACTGTGGTCTAGATGTTAAAGCGCTAGAGTTCGTATCCCCAGTCAACCACAATCTTATTGAGTGATGTTGAGTTTCTCACCATGAGTAAGACAGACCTTCCTCACAGTGTTGTTGTGGAGATAAAATTGGAGAGACAGCCCTGGGCCCTCAGGTGGAAGAATGTGATAAATAATATTACAGAATTCACAAGCGAACTCTGCCTCGTTAAAGGTATCACCAAAGTGCTAAAATAAAGCTCCTTCCTAAAGAATAAAACATAACATTTGCCAACGTGTTTCAAACCAATTAAAAACCAGGGGTTGGTCTCCAAATATGCTTGTGTTGAAATAAATCATCATTCCTGGGTGGGACAAAGAAGATCTAATAAGGAAGATTGATCCAGACATGCTGGAATTGCAAACCACAAACACGCCATTTAAAATATTGCTCCAAAAAAGTTGGAAAAGGTCAGGGGTGAAGCAATTTTAAAAAAAAACAACCCAGAAATGCACCAACCACCTACACACTGATAAACTAAATAAATATGAAAATTGAGAGGACAATCTCAACAACAACAGCAGTAGCAGCAGCAGCAGGGGGGACGAGGGGGGACAAGGAAGGTCAAATGACAGTTATTTCCAAAACGCAAGCAAAAATCCCAATACACAGTTGGGGGGAAGAAGAGCATTCCTTTCACAGTTTGCATCTGAGGTTAGGTACAAGATCACATAGCCATAAATAAGTCACAAGCATTCGTCCATCCGGGCAGAAAACTAAAACCAGAACTAAAAGGACATCATCATTAAAAAAAAAAAATATTATCAGCATCGTCGTCATATAATCGCCAAGGATGAAATGATGGAAGTTTAGTTTTTGGTGGTTTATTTTGGAGGACACATATGGAGATAATATCTATATTATAGAATATATTATTTTTCTTTTCTTTCTTTCTTTTTCTTTTCTCTGCCTTAGAGACAATGCAATTTCCCCCACCCCAAACCCTTCTCTTATTTACCTTCGTTTCAAATGTAGGATGGAAGGGGAAACCAAGACGAATAAGAAGAAGGTGAAATGGAACCAGTCAACAAATTTAAGTGGGGCAAGGATCACCCCAGAGCTGGAAGGAAATGGGATGCCCCAAATGTCTTGTCACTGCTTTTTTGATGATGGTGTCAAGGAGGGAAGGGCAGGAAATGGGGGAGGAGAGAAAGAGGGAAGGGTGTGTGTGTTGGGGTGTGTGTGTGTGTGTGTCTGTTTAACTGCTAATTTCTTCATCCGTTTTATTCAGTTTCTTCAGAGTGTCCAGCAGTTTCTGTGGGGTGAGGACGTGAGTAGAGCCTGGAAATGGGGGTGGGGGGAGTGGGAGGAAGGGAGAAGAGGAGAGAGAGGCATATTAGAACTCCCACCCTGAAAAAGGCATCAGAAAAGGGGAAGGGGTTGTCATCTATAAGGGCGGGGGCCTTGGTGACCTGCGGTGGGTTTGGGTGGGTGGGGGCGAGGGTGGGGAGGCGCTATTGCACCCACGTCTGAGCAAATGCATGTGCTAAGGACTGCCTGCCCCACCCCCCAACAAAAACAAATCGGGCAAGTTATTATCAAAAGTTTTTAAGAGTGCAACGTGGTGGAACAGAGGGTCAAAATTGATCACCAACACCCTTAAGTGGCATGCTGGTGATGTGGTAGTTAGAGCAGCAGCCACTGTGTGGGGAAGGATCTGTGAACCCCCTTATTAGGTGGCCCCAATCCATCCCCTTCTACACCAGTTTCTGTTATATACATAGGAAAGAGGAGAGAAGAATTGCAGACACCGCCCCCCTCCCTGACACTCAGAACCTCTTACCTGCCACGGGGACAGCGTACCAATTTTATTTTTTATTTTTTAACCACTGGAAGAAATGCTTGCAAAAATGTTAAGCCTATGGAACTACGATTCCATCTAGTGCAGGAAAAGGAAAGGCAAAAACCGGAAACGAAAGAAAGAAAGAAAAAATATAGAATACCAGATGGAGGCTTTGTAACCCCGTGAGTTAAGTGTGGTGAAGGAATGATGCATATGGTATGCTGGAGAGGGCAGCATAAGGCCATTGACGTCGAGGGTGCAGAGATAGATAGCGAAAGCGAGGCAGGAGTGGCTGTGTGGCTCATGAGGCCCTGGCATGCAGTGGCAAATGGCAGGCTGTCAGATAAAAGATCGCCTCTTCCTCTCCCGCCTCAGATGGGAGGGAAGAGCCAAATTTGAAAGAAAGAAAGAAAGAAAGAAAGAAAGAAAGAAAGAAAGAAAGAAAGAAAGAATTGCCTATACTTGAAAATGTGCATGTATATACATATTGAGATATGGAGAAGGGGGTTGAGAGGAGTCAGGGAGAGTGAGATACAAGGAATATTGCAGGAGCCTTCAAGAGAAAGCCCATGTCACTGAAGACAAAGAAGGAGGGGGGATCCATGATGACCAGGGGCCCCTTGGGCGAAGAAAGAGAGCACTCTCCTTCCTGTAGCCCCAGTAAGGTAGAGTGGGTAGGGGATTTGTGCGCCCCTTAAAAAGGCAAATTTTCCCAGAACTGCCAGTGGACACTGGTAAGGAGCTGCTGCTCTTAAAACTGTGCTGTAAGAGCTGCCACTTCTTCAGAACATGGGATCGAGCTTGCTTTTTCCTCTGCTCTTCCACCGCTTATTTTATCAAGTGCCATGGTGTTTTTCAGATTGTCTTAGATGATGATTCTTGTAAGCTGCTCTGGGAGCCTTTGGAGGTATAAAATGCCGTAAATAAATATGTAATTATGGCTACCCTTGACCAGAGTGTGTGTTAGGAAATAAAAACAGCAACAAACAATAAGATTCTAAGGCCTGCTGCCAATAGGGACACTCTGTGGGCACAGATGAGATGAGTGTGTGTGTGTGTGTGTGTGTGTGTGTGTGTGGTTTGTGTGTGTTGCTCTAGCCTTGCATCTCTATGCTCAAAGCATGGCAGCTAGGTCCAGTATAGCACTAAATGTCCATATGGATTGCACTGGGGTCCTGCTCCCTTAACACCAGTGTCCCATGTGCCAAGAACCCCACCTCTTAAGCAATGCAAAACTCACTAGCTGGCACTTCCACTTAACAAGATAAAAAATGATCCAAAGCAGGAGAAGTGTGATGAGGCTGTACCAAAGACCTTGGGAGGCAATAAGCCAGTCAGGACAAACAAGTGAACATACAGCAGCCATACAACCATCATGGCTACTGGGGCAGGAACTTGCAAGCTACAAACCAGCAAGCTTTTCAGAGGCGTTCCTTGCTTCTCCGGAGTCACTGACTTTCCCCATCTCCTGTTCCTCTTTGAGGCAGAGCAGGAAATGCAACTTCCTTCCCACCAGCTCAGAAAGCAGGAGCAACAAAGGACAGACAAGCTAATTTGGCGCCGTTGGCAGAAGAAGCCCCACAGGGCCTCTCCCTGAGAGTAAAACAAAAGCAGGACTCTTTCATTCTATCTAGACCATGCAATATATTCTCCCATAACAGGGTGGGGGTGGGGGAGAGGGGCTCCCAAGGGGCAGCTGACCCAGCCCTCACCACACCCCCTGTAACAGTGACAGCTAGGCAGGCATTTTGGCTGATGAGAGTAGGCAGAGAGAATGTGCTGTAGTAACAGCAAATGCCCAGCAGCATTTTCATGAATCTATCAACTGCTCTGAGAGACTGTCACTGGAACTTTGGCAGGAACAGCGTGTAAAGCCAGGTGATTGGAAACCTGTGGCCCTACTGACATTGACTCCAACTCCTATAATTCCAGACCAGCACAGCCAAATAGTCAGGGATGATTGGAGTTGACAGGTTTCCCCACCTCTGGTGTAAGCTTATTAACACCTTTTTAAAAGCCAAAGAATTCTTGGCAGGTGCAACGCTGCGATTTACCAAAACGGACTCTGAGCAAAAGGTAAACAAGTTTCAAGCCTGTTTAAATCTGAAGTAGCGAATGGACGCTTCCCAAGTCTAACTGCAGCCCCTTTTCATTTTCATATTTATATTTTTCATTTTAAAATTTGGAAATAGATCACCGTTGGTGGGAGGAATGGTCAAGTTCTGAATAAGAGATGGTGTAGGATTTGATGGAAGCAACGCTGGGCACATTTTCAAAACCGTTGTTTTAAAGACAGAAAAAAACCGCAAGCATTTTCTCATTTAAAGAACCAAAAAATGGACAAAGAAAGAAGGAAAGGAGGGGGAAGAGAGAGAGAGAGATAGGAAAGAGAGAGAGAGAGAGTGATGTAATAATCAAAGAAGCCCTTCCGAGCGAGGGAAGAGTTTCTTTTTCTATAGTAAGCTGCTTTTACTTTTTATTGTTTTCTTTGGCTCTCATTCCATTGTTGGAGCCTGTTCCTCAAAAGATACCCTAGTGGAATCTCTGAAGTCGGGATGCCTCAGATCCATGAGAAATTTGGTGGGAGTAAGAATGTGAGTAGAACCTGCGGGAGAACAGAGTGTGGGCTGACTCCTTGCACAGAGAAAAACAAAAAAACAATTCAAAAGGGCACATGCTGAAAAAAGATTTTTCTTTTCCTTTAAAAAGGCCTTTAACATTACTTCATTATCAGCAGAAAGTATCAGTACAAAGAAGCAGAGTGAACATGTGTGAAAGAAGCAAATGTGGAAATGACAGACACACATACAAACAGAGAGACGAAGGCAGATGGACAGTCGAGGAAAGCATCATCAAGGCATGCAGTGGAGTGGAGTTGATGGATCTGGGTTTTGGCAGTCACCACTGGGCCTCCAGGAACTGCTGTATGCAGCAAAAATGGTTTGGGGTTCAAGTTAGGAATGGGCAAATCCATCAATTTTGGTTTCTCCTAGTTTCTCGTTGTTCGAATCTTAAGTTCAGTTATCCACATTCATTTGTAATTATTATTTTTTTCATATAAAAATATGTTTATCTCGTGTATACAAATTCAGATTTAGGTGTGAATGTTCCTCAACGCGCACAAGTCTGTATGCAATTGTGTCCTAGAATGCACATTTTCACTAAGCAATTCCCTATGTAACCCATGCACAATTTACCCTAGTAGTGTATGCATTTTTGCAGACAGCACTTGGGCTCTCCTTCAGTGAAGGTTTTTAAAACAGAGGTTGGATGGGAATCTGTCAGGGATTCTTTAGCTGTGACTTTTGCATTGCAGCACTTGCACTAGATGACTCAACTCTACAGTTCTATGATTGTATGAAGTTCAATCCTGTAGGGAATTCTCTCATGCACTCTCATGCTGCAGAAATAAGGATTGACCTCCCTGCACATTCGCTGATGTGCAGGCAGTTCAGTCCTGCATGGTCACAATCTTCCTCCATCCCCATGAGCCAACCTTGACAGAAGGGTCAGACTACCCCCTATCAGTTACCTGGCTTCATTGTGAGGTTGGATGACTGACTGCTAGGTGACCTGGCCCACCGGACCAAAAAGGTTTACAAACCCACCCCCACCCCCGGTTAGATGTCTCAAAATAATTCAGCTGAATGAGGGATGAGAAAATTCAGTTTGCATTTGAAGATTGGGCTACTGAATTCACAGCTGCCAAAGCAATATATGAACCAGCCATCCTTCAAACTTGGACTACTGCAATGCACTCTACATGGGGCTACCTTTGAAGGTGACCCGAAAACTACAACTAATCCAGAATGTGGCAGCTAGACTGGTGACTGGGAGTGGCCGCCGAGACCACATAACACCAGTCTTGAAAGACCTACATTGGCTCCCAGTACGTTTCCGAGCACAATTCCAAAGTGTTGGTGCTGACTTTTAAATCCCTAAACGGCCTCGGCCCAGTATACCTGAAGGAGCATCTCCATTGTTCTGCCCTGAAGTTGCCATGGGTTGAACCTTAGACCTTCTGCATACAAAGCAGGTGCTCTGTGCTCCTCTTACTGTGTGTTTGTTGTTTCTAAAAACCAAGGGCTGCATACACAACACGCATATAAAGTGCATGGCTGACCCCAAAGAATCCTGGGAAGTGAAGTTAAGTGTTCTGGGAATAATAGTTTATGCCATGGATATAAGAGCTGCTGCTTTTATTTATACTGCTTTCAGTTTTGTTCTTTGTTTTCATCACTTGTGAGCCCCTTAATTGCCCTTGAGGCCAAAAGGCAATCATGGAAATGTTGGTCTGAATAAATGAATAGATCTAGTTAACTAAGAGGCGGCATGGAGATTGATGCCTGACACCCAGGAAGAGCATGAAATGGTGCCTGGTTCCTTGATGAACATTTAAAACGCACACACACACACACACACACACACACACACCTATCACAATCCTAGATCAGACAAAGTGTGCATCGTTCAACATTAAAAGCTACATTTAACAGTTACCTGACATGTCACATGTACATACATACATACATACATACATACATATACAGGCACAGAACAGAACAGTGAAGCCACATGGCAAACCAAGATATGAGAGCAGAGAAAGAGGAAAATAGTTATGAAGGAGGCTCACCTCCAGGAAGGGAAAAATCCAGTGAGCAGGTGGGGGCAAGGGATGCAAAGCTGTAGTGCTTCAGACATTTCCAGAATCTGGCTCTCATCAGAGGTGCATCCAGCACAGCCAATAGTCACGAATGGTGGGAGTTTGAGTCCAGCAACATCTGGGGGGCCACAAGCTCCCCATGCCAGATTTAAACCCACACCTGTCCCCAGTCGTACATAATATGAGACTGCAGGGTCCAATCATTCAATTGAAAGGAGTATTCAGATGATGGGAAATGAACCCTCCAGCCAGCACTCCCAATGGTCAGGGATGCAGCAGTTGCCATCCAGCAACATCTGGAGGGCCACATATTGCACACCCTTGCTCTAAGCAGCAGCATTCCCTACTGCATGCAACGGAAGGAAAGAAGCCTCTATTCAGAAGAGGCATTTCCTCAGATTGGAGAACCTGTAGCAATCCAGATGCTGGGCTGCAACATTCAATATGCCAGAATGATGAAAGCTGCCATCCAGCAACATCTGGAGGGGCACAGGTCACACTATCCCAGCTGTTGGGATGGAAAATGAGAGGCCTGGGGGTTAAGGTTGGTCCAGAAAGCCTCTGTATTGGGAGGGCCAGCCCTAGACAAATTGGTTCCTCCTAGTTCCCCGAAAACTCAGGGTGCCTATAGTAACCAAGGTTACTTGTTCTTTTATTTTTTAGATACATTTTAAAGATACGGTTGGCTTTCTCCTCTCTTGTCTCAGTGTTGCCATTGTAGAACCTAGCAGGAAAGTGGGCAGGGCAAAAGCAGAATGAATTGGCGCTACCAGTAATTGGGCTCCAGCTCTTACCGTGGGCCTCTCTACCTTCTGCCCCACCAGTCCCAATGGGGTTTATTGTTCACGTCCCCCTTGCAGGGAATAGATGCTCTGCCAGGGAAACTGGAGAACCTTCCACCAGCATTGCACCCCCAACTTCCACAGGTAAGCCGCTAGGGGGGAAGAGGGGGAGCTGGAGGCAAATACTTGATAAGCAATTCAAACAGGCCCCATTTGAACAAGAACCATACTTGACTAGCTCCTGCCCACAATCAGTCACAGAGTTTGGTTTCCCTTGCCACAGCAGAGTTGCCTGTGCAGGGACTCAATTATGGCTGCATTCACAGCATACATTTAAAGCACTTGTGTTGCCCCATCTCAAACAGTAGTGGCTTCCCCCAAAGTATCCTAGGAGATGTATTGTGCTAAGGGTGCTAAGAGTTATTTGGAACCCCCCCCCCATTACCCTCCAAGACCTACAGTTCCCAGAGTTCACTGATTGTTAAACTGCCCTGGAAATTGTAGCTCCATGAGCAGAATAGGGGCCTCCTAACGACTAAACAACAACAACAACAACAAACAACTCTCAGGGCCCTTAGCAAAATACACTTCTCAAACTTACGGACTCAATGTTAAGACTGTGTTCGTGGAAAACAATCTTACTCGGCTACGAGTGATTGCCAAAGAAGAAGATGACAAAGACACTTCTCAGAATTCTCTGGGGGAAGCCATGACTGTTTAAAGTGGCATTGTTCTGCTTTAAATGTTAAGGTTGCCTACATAAAAAAATAACAATGCTTTAGTTGGAACCGTAGGAGTTAGGGATGTGAAATGGAGATCTGGCTAGACCAACCATCGTTCAATGGGATCTCTGTAGAACAGGCCACCTGGAGACTGGATTTTGCCACAGGTGGGAGCGGATAGGGAAGGGATAAGGAGGAAGAGACAGACAGGTAAACAGACACAGAGAGACAGAGAAAGAAGAGGACAGAGAAGCTCATGATGGAGTGAAGAAAGGGGAGGTGGGGCCAAGCATGACTCTGCCAAAAGGACTCACCTATTAGCACCTCCCACTTCCCACTGGCTTGAGTCACCTCATAAGCGCAGCGCATCTCATTCAGGCCCACACCCCCCAGGATGAAAATGATGAGGCGGGGGCCACTCCTGTACTCCCCAGGAGCCTTGTTCTTGTGCCAGTGTCCATAGCGGGCACTGAATGCAGGAGAGAAAAGAAGGACAAACAAGAGGAGGGGAAAATACATCATGCAGAAGTTCAACAATTTTAAAATACATGGAATTGTGTTAACATGAACTAAATGATTCCGCCTAGGATTGCACATCGCACAAGCTTGTGAGTAGTCAGAAGTGACAGGTCACACACATTGTCCTGTTGCAATCCTTACAAACAACCCCCACAAGGCCCATCTGCACTATACATTGACATCACTACAAGGTAAAAAAAAAAAAGGTAAAGGACCCCCGGATGGTTAAGTCCAATCAAAGGTGACTATGGGGTGCGGTGCTCATCTCCGCTTTCAGGCCGAGGGAGCCGGCGTTTGTCCACAGAAAGCTTTCTGGGTCATGACTAAACCACTTCTGGTGCAATGGGACCGTTTACCTTTGCATCGTAGAGGTACCTATTTATCTACTTGCACTGGTGTGCTTTCGAACTGCTAGGTTGGCAGGAGCAGGGACCGAGCAACAGGAGCTCGCCCCGTTTTGTGGATTCGAACTGCTAACCCTCCAATCGGCAAACCCAAGAGGCTCAGTCATTTAGACCACAGCACCATCACTACTATTCCACTTTAAACAGTCATGGTTCCTCCCGTATCTAGTATTATGAAAAACAGGGAAACACCTCTCCCTATCCACTTTCTCCACACCACACATAGTTTCTATACACCTCTATCATGTCTCTTCTTACTTGTCTTTTTTCTAAACTAAAAAGCCCCAAACGCTGCAACCTTTCCTCATAGGGGAGTTGGTTTGTCCTCCTGTGAGCTTTTTGCAGCTCTGCAAATGTCCTTTTTGAGGTGAGGCAACCAGAACTGTACACAGTATTCCATGGGTGGCCTTACCATCAGTGGGTAAAACAGCACTAAGACACGGGCAGCTTTTATTTGCAAGCCCTATTCCCAACATGGGATTCAAATTCTTCCACACTTCCATTCCTTTAATAATGTGGTTGCTTTTTATGCTGTGCTTTCATGACAAGGCAGCGCAAACCAGGTTGGAGGGGTGTTAGAACAGAAGATAAAAGGAGGAAGGTGCAACCCAAGGAATGCCTTTGTGGCTGTTGCCGGCCTGGGAGCGAGGTGTGAAGCCTTCTTCCTACCTGACCGCTGTAGTGCTGAAGGAAGCAGAGGATCGGGTGGAGATGTAAGGGTAGTGTTTGGTGTCCAGTTTGTCCTCAATGGCATCCTAAAAAGAGAAGAGCAGAAGATCAGCAGTTTTGGAAGAGCTTTCGTATGTGCATCCTAGTGAGCTAGCTCTAAGATAAAGGTAAAGGGACCCCTGATCATTAAGTCCAGTCGTGACCGACTCTGGGGTTGCGGCGCTCATCTCGCTTTATTGGCTGAGGGAGCCGGCGTACAGCTTCCGGGTCATGTGGCCAGCATAACTAAGCTGCTTCTGGCAAACCAGAGCAGTGCATGGAAATGCCGTTTACCTTCCCGCTGGAGTGGTACCTATTCATCTACTTGCACTTTGACGTGCTTTTGAACTGCTAGGTTGGCAGGAGCAGGGACCCAGCAATGGGAGCTCACCCTGTCGCGGGGATTCGAACCGGCGACCTTCTGATCAGCAAGTCCTAGGCTCTGTGGTTTAACCCACAGCACCACCCGCATCCCTGCTAGCTCTAAGGATGAGCAAACCCATCAACTCTGGATTCTCATTTCTCATTTTCAGTTCTGCACATTTCCACATCAGTTTGAAATTTTCTTTTAGCCTACATCTGCATTTTAGTGTAAATTTCTCCTAATATACACATTTTTCTCCTTAGAGCCACATTTTTCTATGTCATTTTTCCTAAGCAAAGCAATTTGCCCCCATGGCTTCAATGCACATCTCATGTTCATTAGGAGCTGTGCATTTAGGATTGGGGGTCCAATTTTATGGAACTGTTTAGACAGGCCTTCACAATATGAATTTTCTCTTTCTAACCAACCAATATTTGAAGATGCTTTACTGGTGTTTTTAACTCTGCAGATGCTTTTTGTAGATGCCTCAGGGCTGGCCCAATACATGTTGGTGCTTGAGGTGAATCATAAAATGGTGCTCCACCCAGTGGTGGACCTACATTTTTGGGGCTCTGAAGCTTGAACTGTTATGGGGCCCCCTTTGCAACTAGCAACAAGGTCTAGGTAGCCACTGTTATCTTCTTCAAGAGGGTTGTTCCATAACATATCACGACACATTTATAACATCTGTGCTACTGACTCTCAAACCTAGGGATTGTTGAAATATATACAACAACAAAAATAATCAATTTGAGTTGTGCGACTCAGTTTGGGTCTACTAGACCCAAAAATTCTAAGCAATGTGGACTAAAGTCGTTTCTTTGGGGCCCCTGGGATCAGGAGCTCTGAAACTTAAGCTTCACTAGTTTCATAGAAGACCCATCCCCAGCCCCACCACCCCCAAGAAAGAAGAAGTGAGTGAAGATCTACATGAGGAACAATGAGAGTAGGCAAATCAACCATACCCAGCAGTTAAAGTGGGAATGAAAGGCTGTCATGAGGGGAAATCATGCCAAGTGGGTGTAGTAGACACCAGAAGATCCCAGAAGGCAGCCCCCACCATTTCCTTTTGGCTGGGGCAAGAAGACCAGCAATGCCTCCTATTTGCCAAGAGGCCACTATAGAGGCAGCAGATCCAGCCTCCAAGGAGCACGCCACAGCCATGGCTGCTACCAAGGTGATAGCAGCAGGAGGTGATGTATATTTGGAGACTGTTGATTTGGCCACCACAGGCAGTTGTCTCTCCTTTCCTTACAGTGGGCCAGCCCTTGAATGCCTCTCATTCTTTTAAACCTTAATACATTTTTTAAAAAAATACAGATTATAAATATGCAAATAGAAAACCAAGGAGGAACACAGCCAGGGAGCTGTTGCTAATGGCAATCTCCCCCAAAGATGCCTTCATCAAGTGCTTGACCCTATCAACTGTCAGCATCAGCCCTATGATGACCACCAAATCCAGGGGGATCCAGGCTGCTCATGTCCATCACATGCCCACCTGCAAACTTCATAGGAACAGCCAGTCTGGTCATAGGCAGAGTAACAAATGTAAACCTTACTTTAGGACAGCTGGCTAGTTTCTGCTCCTCCCCTCCATCCAGGCAAGCAAGAGGCGTTATCACAGCTCAAACACACATTCCAGCCAGACAACAACTCTCAGGGAGGATGTGAAGCAGAGAGTGTGGCTAGACTGGAGATGTGGCCTAAAGAGAATCCCAGGGGCCAGACAGATAGGCCCGTAGGACCACATTTGACCCCTGGGCCTCAAGGTCCCCCTCCTCTAGTTTAAATCTTTACCTCCATAATATCCTTTACCACTGGGGTCCATCGAGACAGCTGGTAGGTCTGCTCGCTGATTCGCTCCTTCCGCTCAGGCTTGCTTCTGCGGCGTAAGGTAGACTGAGAAGAGGGAAATAGGCAATTGCAAACATGGAGGGAGTGTGAACAAAAAAGGCAGACACACCACACAACTGGCTTTCTTTTTTTGTGCTTTAGTTTAGGGCAACGCCTGTGCCTTGCAAATGGGCCACTAACAAGTTAAGCTCCTTCATGGTGCTGATGAAAGCTGCAGGGACCAGATAAGGGATTTATCTCAATCACATCAGTGTCTGGTGGACAAAGTGAGGATTTCATGATAGCTGCTGGCACCCTTTCCCACAAAAAGAGAAAATATCATAGGAAGAAGCATAAAATAAATTCCAGCTATAAATTTAAACCACCAACATACATCACTTTTATACCCCTTTAACTCGCATGGCTTTCTTCCACAGAATTTTGCAAACTACAGTCTAGAAAGACTCCCAAAGATTGTAGTGGCTATCCCTAGCTCTTCCACACGCTGAAATATATTTCCCATGATTCCCTGGGAAGATAGAAAAATTGTTGAATTAGTCCAAGGCTGTTGACAGACACAACAATCTTTGAATAATGGAATGGAAAAGTCAGAAGAATTTACTTTTCCCATAGGTCAATGCCCCTTCATAGAGAAAAAAGGCACCACCCCTAATCTACTGTGTGTCAGTGGACGTCCTAGGATTCAAAAAAGGTTTAAGTTAGGTATATTAGCTTTATTAAATTTACTTGAAGCCTTGTACTCGGCGTAGTCCAGAAATTCCAAGAAACCCCAAACTGTGCAGTTTGGAGAAGCTCAGTCCACCATTTTGTTTCAAAATGGTGTCCAGCTGTATCCAAAAACAGACAAAAGTCTGCTTTTTGATCTCAGGAACCATCATGCAAAATCTGCTTATGACAACATAAAGAGGTATCCAAATGCATACAGAGCAGCCAGACAAACAACTTCCCAAAAGATCTAGTACAGTAGTACCTTGGATTAAGTACTTAAATCGTTCCGGAGGTCCGTTCTTAACCTGAAACTGTTCTTAACCTGAAGCACCACTTTAGCTAATGGGGCCTGCGCTGCTGGAGCACGATTTCTGTTCTCAGCCTGAAGCAAAGTTCTTAACCCGAGGTACTATTTCTGGGTTAGCGGAGTCTGTAACCTGAAGCGTATGTAACCTGAAGCGTCTGTAACCTGAGGTACCACTGTAGATGTATTGTTATTATTTACATACCACCCTTCATCACAAGATCTCAGGGTGGTTCATAGGATAAAAATACAAGGCAAAAGCACAAAGAAATCGTTTAAATAAAAAGAACAGAATAATACCCCCACACACACTCACAAACTCATTAAAAAGGCTGTAAATGTTAATCAGACAAACACCTGGTTGAAGAGGACCATTTTTGCCTGGCACCTGAAGGCACCAGAAGAACCTCCCTGGGGGAGCATTCCATGAACAGGTGGCTACTATACAGAGAAGGCCTGCTCTCTTGTTGCCACTCTCAGGGCTTCCTTCAAAGGTGGCACACAGAGAAGGGCCTCAGGATGTTGGTGACTGAGTCTGTGTTCCAGCTTTGCATGCTGAGCTACAGCCCTTCTCCTTCAGCAACTGGGAAAGGCATCTCCGAGCCATTGCTAAAAAATCTTCAAGACCAGGTAAAAACTTACATCTGTGATGATGGGTACTCCAAGGTGGGCCATATTGGTGATGATCTCACTGTCTTCAGGTGGAATCTGAGCATGTTGAATCAGCTTGTTGAGATTTTCCTCAGTGATGCCTGGGAGGGTGGAAAAACATAAAAAGTGAGGCTATTTCTCCTCCCAAAAAAAGATAAATAGTTTTACATGTCGCTCAAGCACCCCTTTCGCCAGGTTTTCCAAACTTCTGAGTTTATTGACCACAAGGATAGACTTACAAAGTTGTCATTGACCCCAACCCAAATTTTTAAGAACGTGAATGAAATAAAGTCAATAAATACCAGCATATAATCAACATTTATCAATCATCAATCACCATGACTTGAAATCATAAAATGAAAGAAAAATAAGGAAGTAGAAAAAAGTATAAAGAGGTAAAGGGACCTCTGTGGTGGACAACTCTGGGGTTGCGGTGCTCATCTTGCTTTATTGGCCAAGGGAGCCAGCGTACAGCTTCCGGGTCATGTGGCCAGCATGACTAAGCCACTTCTGGCAAACCAGAACAGCGCACGGAACCGCCATCTACCTTCCCGCCAGAGCAGTACCTATTTATCTACTTGCACTTTGACGTGCTTTCAAACTGCTAGGTTGGCAGGAGCAGAGACTGAGCAACGGGAGCTCACCCCGTCACGGGGATTCGAACTGCCGACCTACTGATCAGCAAGCTCTAGGCTCTGTGGTTTAGACCACAACGCCACCTGCGTTCCAGAAAAAAGTATACTGGCATGCAAAACTGTGTAGTATAATGTGGAATCATCTTAATAAATACAGAGGTTCCTCATTAACCAGAGGATACATGGCTCCACACATGCCTAGGCCTTTTATTTTTCAGGCTCATAGTTCCCAATTAAACTTTTTGCACTACATCTTATGAGATTCTTTTTTACATCCCTGGGAGTTTAACAACCCCTTCCTGACCACAAAGTCTTTATTCAGCCTCTGCACTGCCCCATTGACCTCTGGGGTGAGGTGGGGATCAATATCAACCACTTTGGAAGCAGCTACATCACCTACCATTCTTCAGGAAGATATAGAGCAGGATGATACGGATCTTGTCATAAGTGCTGACATTTGCATCAAGCAGGATGGGGACAATAGCCCTCATTGGGTCCTTTATTTTCTCCCCCTCTGCATCGGTTCCCATGGCCAGGTCCTGAAGAAGAAATATATAGCATCCATCAGTCTTTGCCCACTTTGGATCTACAAGGTAGATTGTCCTCTGCTGCCTGATGTCCATGTCAAATCCAGGGAGGGAAAATGCTGGAGCAGCACAACTTTATTCTTAATATAATCACACTGAGATCCTGAATTTAGGGGAAAGTAAGACGCTGCATTTATTACATGTTTGATGGGAAAGCTCCTATTTCTATCTAAGATGGAGATGCCTCGAGCCATGCTTGATCTTGCTGAATCCTCATGGAGTGGGAGGAAGTAGGAAATGAGGTCAGCAACCCCAAGAGTATCAGTCTAGCACCTAAGGCAGGGGTGCCCAAACTTTTTCCAAAGAGGACCAGAAGTGAACATGTGTGACCAAAGTTGTTGTTGAGCTTTTTTTTAGATTTAACTCCAAAGTTGTTGCGCTCTTTTTATATATATATATATATATATACAATTTTACCCCAAAGTAAAAGTTGAGCTTTTCTTAGGATTGAATTGAAGTTGCTGAGCTTTTTTTTAGGATTTTTCTTTTTTAGGATTTTACCCAGGACATATACTGCCACAGGGGCCAGATTAAATTGACCAGCTGGCCAGATTAGGCCCCCAAAACGGACTTTGGACATGCCTGACCTAAGGGAAGGTCAGCACAGGTTAGGTCAGAAAGGATGGGCTAAGAAACCTGGAGGTTTCTCTCTCCATCTGCTCTTTCCCCTGCAGACACATCAGCCTCCAGGGCAAGCTGAGTTCCAAAACTTCCAACAGACTAGGATACTCCTCCCCACCCAGTCTTCCATTCCCCCACTGCCTGCTTATTCATTCTCACCTGCAAATGAAAAGCTAATCCAAGTTCTTCCCAATCCTTACAATTTCCCATGCTTAATAAACACATTCCCTACAGCCACCCAGATATCATGTCCATGAGCATTTCAAAGCTTTGATGTGCATCTCCCCCTTTTGGAGGAAGACACATGCACTGTAACCCTTCCATTGTATGTCACAGAGCATTTAAAAACAAAAGGTGACCCCTGTAAGACTACACTCCATCAGTAAAGGGGAAATGGAGCAACCTAGTCAGCAGCTAAGTCAGCTCTTTCTGAGATTCCTAGCAAATTATGCAAAAATGCATCACACACACACACAAACCCCACATGGTGTTGCTGACATAAGAATGTGTTTGCAGCAATGTCTCTCCATCAGCACAACCTGCTCAGCAATTTCCTGTTCAGGGAAGTTTTTAATATGTGACATTTTAGTGTATTTTTTATCTTTGTTGGAAGCCGCCCAGAGTGGCTAGGGAAACCCAGCCAGATGGGCGGGGTACAAATAATAAATTATTATTATTATATATTATTATTTTCTGAATCAGTTGGTTTACCTGTTCAACTCGGCAGAGCTTGTCCACAGTGCCTTGGTAGTGTTTCATGCAATCTTCGGCCAGGTGAAGGTGAGTGGAGTACTGAAAAGAAATGTAAAAAAAAAATGTAGCTAAGCTACTGTCTGTCGTCAGTGCACAGAACCATAGACTTGTAGAATTGGAAGGGACCTGATGGTTATCCAGTCTAACCCCCTGCAATGCAGCAATCTCAGTTAAAGCATCTACAAAAGATGGCCACTCAACCTCTGTTAAAAAAAAACCGCCACAGAAGGAGAGTCCACCACCTCCCGAGGGAGTCCGTTCTACTGTCAAATAGGTCTTACCTTGCTCAGCTCCTTCTGATACTGGGGCATCTTTTTCAGCATCTGGGAGAGATCCCTCATGGTTGTCTACAAGTTTTAAACAGAGAACAAAAATCATCCACATGCCTTGCTTCCAAAGGGCACCTGGCAGCTTTTGGACCAGATGACCTGAGCTAAACAATGAAGATCTTAAACAGTTAAAGCAAGACAACCAGGTTGTTGGGGGTGGGGGTTGGAGGGGGGAGGATAAAATCTTACTTAGAACCATTGAGCTGTACCTAGACAAACACCATATTTTGCACTACTCATTTAAAGAACCTGTATAGCATTTTAAATAGCAATGGCTTCCCTCATAGAATCCTGGGAACTGTAATTTGACAAGGGGGATGAGAGTTTTTAGGAGAATTCCTCCTCAATTCCCAGAGTTCCCTGGGAAGAGGGATTGATTGATAAACTACTTTGGGAATTGTTGCTCTGTGAGGGGAACAGGGACATCCTAACAACTCTCAGTGCCCTTAACAGTCATGACATCACTAAAAGTAACAAACTGTGGTTTGCTAATGGTACTGAGAGTTGGCCGGGGGCTACAGTTCCCAGAGTGGTTTAACAGTCAATTTGTCTTCCCAGGGAACTCTAGAAATTGTAGCTTGGTGTGGGGAACAGTGTGCCTCCTAACACCTCTTAGGACTTTTAAGAAACTACAGTTCTCTCTTTGTGGGAAGTTACAACTGCCAAAGGGGTATAAGAGGGCTTTAAACGTGTGGTGCACACTTACCTGGAGTTCTTAATGAAATCAATAAAGATTAAGTGAAGTCATGATTAACTTGGTATCAGTGGGACCACGTTTAACTAACTTCATCTGGATCCAACACAAAGAATTCAAAGGAGCCTCCAAAGGTCCAGTCTAATTCCTCATGAAGGGGAACTCACCACCTCTAACAGTGTAATTATGTTCCTCATAATAGTCTAATCCTTTTACTGTAATTTGAACCCCTCAATGCCTCACTCATTAATTCGCTGTGTCAGCTGTACAGCAGCCCTTTAAATATTTGACAATGCGATCGTAATCCTTTCTTCTCCAGAGTAAACACCCCCAGATTCTTCAGCCAATCATAGTACTTGGTCTTTTATATATTTGCTACATTTGAGGGGGAAAAGTTTATATCTATAGGAATAAAAAGGCACCTTTCCTGCCCTTGCTTCTAGCTCTCTATTCAATCTTAAACATTCTAACATATGATTGCTTGTTAAAGCTCACCTTATCACCCGTATTCATCCTTTTACTGGAAGAGAAGTCCTTCAGAGAGCGGGTGACCTCCCTGGAATCAAATAAAGACCAAGCAAGTCAGTAACATCCTCCCTACATCCAGCTCAAGCCATGCCCCTTCCCTAGAGCAGTGGTGGGGAACTGCAGGACTGGTGGACAAATAAGGCCCTTTGGATCTCTCTATCTGGCCCTCAGAACTCTCCCCAGGCCACACCCCTCACTGGCCCAAGCATCTCTAGTAGGGCTAGAATGTGTCCTTCAACCCTAATAATGCCTCTTGCTTGTCTGGATGGAGGACAGAGAGCAGGGTGCAATTGCACGTGGAAAGTTGCCTACTCTATGAAGGTAAAATTTGCATTCATTGCTCCACACGCTTTTGCTTCTGGCCCCACCCACCACTGGTACATCGCCCTCAGAAGGCTGCCCAGACAGGAAACACAGTTCACTTCCTAAAAGCGTAGCTTCAGGCCTCAGACCAACACAGGAGGTTAAATGTAAGTCTCTAGGGCTGCAACTCAACACAGGGAGGTTACGAGTCTGTGTGATCCCATCAGTTCCAATGGACTTCACTAAAGAAGCTGAACTGCCTCAGTGGAGTGACCGAGCTACAGATTAGTGACTGATCTACTGATTCAAGTCTCCTGTGGACCATGAACTCGCTAGATGGCCTTAAGCAACCCATGTACACACACTCTCAGCCTGAGTCCTCCTTCCTCTGCAAATAATAATAATAATAATATCCCAGCTTGCAAAATGGAAAATAATAACACCCACTGACTTCATAGGGTCACTGTAAGGACTACGCTAGACAATGCATGTAAAGTACTTTGAATACTTGGAAAAACATAATTAAAGTTAACTTTTTACTTGTATAGAAAACCAGAGTTTGTACAGTGACCACAAACACTTGAAAAACTGCTATGCAAATTATGATTATTAATGTTAGCCTCCTACTAATGAGGGGGTGAGGAGGGAAAAAGGACAGTCTGTTTACTATCCAGTTGGTTGTGTGCTTTGCTGTTTAAAAAATAAAAAGTGGTAGGAAACTTCAATTAATAAATTAAACCTTCTTAATTGGATTTAGGATTCTGCAGTGCTGCTCTGCGTTATGATCCACCACCACCCCCACACAAAACAAACATATATAATCTCTCCTTTTGCACAATATTTCTAGCTGGAAGGCTGCTCCCTCCCAAAATAACCTCAGGCAACAGGAACAAAAGGCAGCACACTGTTTTGCAATATGCAGAGTGAACTCAACACCACCAAGAGAGAGGAGATGCACTCTTACTGGGAGACTTCAGCAATGTGTTTATGGCGCAAGGTGACCCAGAGGTCATCGTCTTCATCCAGCAGAACCTCTTTGACACGGGCCTCCCCAATGCCACTTGTCTCATACCTAGTGAGGGAGAAAAAGAATGTAAGAACATAAGAGCCTCCTAAGAACTCTCAGCACCCTTAACAAACTACAGCTCCCAGGTTTATTTGGGGGAAGCTCTCGCGGTGGCCAACCAGAGGCCTGGGGTAAACCCACAAGCAGGATTCAAGCAACTGGTATTCAGAAGCATTGCTGCCTCAAACTGGGAAGGCAGAGCATAGCCATCATAGCTAGTAGTCATCAATAGCACTCTCCTCCATTGATTTCTCTAATCCTTTTTAAAAGCCATCATTGCCTCCTGTGGGAGTGAGTTCTGCAGTTTAACTATGGGGAGAGAAAGTAAGTGCAGTAGTACTTTTTGAAAAATCTATTTTAAAATTCATTTACAAGTTATGGGGTTCACCAAAACTTCCAGAGCAGATTTTGGGGGGGAGGCCTAAGGTGTGCATGGGGAAGAGGGGGAAAGTCCTATGGTGTAGGTGGAAGTCATTCCACTTGCTCAAGGGTTTAGCGGAACACTGTCCTTAGGGCTTTTGCAACCACCAGGGTGTCTGCAGGACCCTTACTTGTAGACGTCATTCTCAATGGGAAGCAGATCATAGCTCATGGCTTGGAATGTCAGTTCATGTAGCACTGGAGAGCTGGGGTCAAAGCCGCGGTCCAGGATGACGAGCTGGGAGCGGGCTTTGTCTGGACCCTTAGGAGGGGAGAAACACAACAGAAAGGCTCAAAGTGTGGGTGGGGACAGGGGGAGCATGGACAAGCCCCACCCTCAAAGCCATCATGTGTCACACCCAATCCCTGACCTTCCCAGTTCAAGGACAGCAAGCCCCTCTGAAGCTGCCAACTGGTGTCATGATGACATCAGGGGAATGGCAGGTTGCTGCCCCCACCCAGCAGTCAAAGTGTCCCCTGGAGTTCTGTGAGGCAGGTCCTCCTGCTGCCTAAATCTAGTTTCCCACCCCAGAAATGTCAGGAACCCAGCTAGACATGTGCCCCTTAAGAGGAAAGGTGCCCAGTTTATATAACCTGACCTTGTTGGTTGTTCCACACTGAAGTACTCACCTCACCCATGGTTGGGTCATCAGCCTTGTATGCATCAAGTTTGTCCTGGATCAGCTGGGCCAACATGGCATTGTCTTTGTAATCCCTGCAAAAAAGCAGAAAAACAATGCAAAATATATATATACAGGAGACGCAGGTGGCGCTGTGGTTTAAACCACTGTGCTGCTTGGACTTGCTGATCGGAAGGTCGGCGGTTCAAATCCCCGCAACGGGATGAGCTCCCAGCTCCTGCCAACCTAGCAGTTTGAAAGCACGTCAAAGTGCAAGTAGATAAATAGGTACCACTCTGGTGGGAAGAGTTTCCGTGTGCTGCTCTGTCTTCACCAGAAGCAGCTTAGTCATGCTGGCCACATGACCCAGAAAATCTGTCTGTAGAAGCTCCCTCGGCCTGTAAAGCGAGATGAGTGGAGCGCTGCTGGACCCAGAAAAACCCACAAATACATCAGTTCAGCTCCCACTTTAAAGAAGGTGTGAACTGCTTTGCTGGATGGGACCAGGATTCATCTAGTTCTCCTTTTCCCAAAGCAGGTACAAGGAACCTGTGGCTTCCCAGACCTTTTTTTAAATGGTGCTTTATGTTTTCATTGTATACATGTTGTTGTACACCACCCTAACATTTTAAGAGATGGCAGCATAAAAATACTTTTTATAAAATAAATCAATAAAACTCCCAACTCCCATCCTTTCCAGCAAGCATGGACAATTCAAGCAAACCTTTCAAAAGAAAGAAAGAAAGAAAGAAAGAAAGAAAGAAAGAAAGAAAGAAAGAAAGAAAGAAAAGAAAGAAAAGTGAGCTGATTTGCAAGTGTGATTCATTAATCTGAGTCAGTTTGGGGAAGTTATTTCTAAGGATTTGTTTTAGCTATAACTTGTACATGAAACCCTGACTTAAAGCTACTAACTATAAATATATTCAGGGCACATCAGGATGGAGGAGAGGAGGAAGAGAAATAGTAAATAAAGCATCCTATTCATTGTTGCTATTTGCTACCAGGTAAGTAAAGGAAAGAAAGGTCAGGGTTGGCAGAGCACAAAGCGCTTCCTTTAGAAGTCCTCTGTCCAGAACCCAGACTCACCCTCTGTATCGGACAGCAGGGTATTCCTTCAGGGTGGCACAAAGGGTGGCAATCTGCTCTGCCAGGCGCTCCAAGATCGGGTTTTTCATCTGGGCCTTGTGAGGGCTGTAGAAGCTCTGGAAAGAGTCAGCAGAGTCCAGGGAGTAAACCTGCAGAGGGCATCAAAAGAACAGCAGAATGACAAAGTGAGCTAAATTGTCAAGGCCAAGTAAAATGGGTGGATATCGCACACGGGAGCCAGCAAACCCCTCCAAGGTGGGAAGATAGGAAGCTGACCTATCCCAAGTCAGACCACTGGTCCCTCTAGCTCAGGTTTGCATGCACTGACTGGCAGCAGCTCTCCAGCATTTCAGAGAGGGACATTCCCAGCCCTACATAGGAGATGCTGGGAAGTGACCCTAGTAGAGTTCCCTGATAAGAAGGGGTGACTGTTAAACCACTTTTGTCTGCTACCTTCATCTTCAGGCACCAGGCAAAAACATTCCTTTACAACCAGGCCTTTGGCTGATTGCACATTCTATGGCTTTTAAAATGGGTTTGTGGGTGGGGGTTACTTGTTTTTTGTTTTACAGTGGTACCTCAGGTTAAGTACTTAATTTGTTCCGGAGGTCCGTACTTAACCTGAAACTGTTCTTAACCTGAAGCACCACTTTACCTAATGGGGCCTCCTGCTGCCGCCGCACCACCAGAGCCCGATTTTTGTTCTTATCCTGAAGCAAAGTTCTTAACCTGAAGCACTATTTCTGGGTTAGCAGAGTCTGTAACCTGAAGCGTTTGTAACCTGAAGCGTATGTAACCTGAGGTACCACTGTATTACGTATTTTGTGTTCTCATTTTGTATTTTTATGTTGTGAACTGCTCTGTAAATTTTGGATTAAGGGTAGGTAGATAGATATAGATAGATAGATGATAAATGATAGATAGGTAGATGATAGATAGATAGATAGATAGATAGATGATAGAGCGAGAGAGAGAGAGGGAATTGTAGCTCTGTGTGAGGAATAGGAGTCGCCTAACAACTCTCAGCACCCTTAATAAACTATGCTTCCTAGGATTCGGGGGGTGGGGACCCTGCCTCTTCAAAGTGGTATAATCCTGCTGTAAATGTAAGGTGCAGATAGGGTGTTAAGGTGACATGTTAGTTTCTTCATTATTGCTAAGTCCCAAGATTTGATGCAACAATTCTGGACAGTCAGACCCAAAATATTTTGAAGTGCTGTGCTGTAATTATACAAGCTCCCACAAGCATAAACCTTATCAAGTCCTCAGAAAGTGCTTCTGTGTAATCACCCGAAAATAAGCAAAGTCAGCACAGGTTGTGGTCTTTAAACAAGGAGTAGCATACAATGAGGCTTATTTCAGTAATAGCATCATCCCAATTCCATCAGTGCCAGAGGGCATTTCCACCACAGATAAAAAACAGTGGAACTTTGATCAAATTTATGTTTCAATAGCAACAGGGGACTCCAACCCTAAGATTACAGAAAATATAGTTCCTTACTATAGCCATTAAAACCAGGCCACAATTGTTAAAGAGAAGATGAGCCCCATGTCAAAAGTGTCTTTTTTTAAAAAAAAAAACCTATTTCTGATTGTACATGGGTTTTATTGTGTTCGTATTTTAAAATGCACAGTTTGTGTCCATGTATATTGTGGGGTTTTCTTCCTCAGCTGTGTGGTTGTCTTGATAACCCTTTATTATATTGGGATTTTTATGGTCTGTAGACCCTATTAGCTGAACTGAACATAAAGTAGTTAAACACAGCAGCAAGTCCTGGGGCTGAAGACAGACCCTGAAAGGGAAGAAATCTTGCTCAAATTAAACCCCCTCTGCAACTAGCTTTTTTGTTGTTGTTTTTGTATCTTGACTGCTGCCACACACAGTCAGGAGAATGGTCCATTCAGATTAATATTCTGCCTCCTGGAGATCTGACAGATGTCTTAGGGAGAGTTCAAAAGCAGGGCATGATGGCGCAGCAGATGTTGGGGATTAAGGGGGAGCAAATATCTCCAACAGATACCTTTGCAGAAAAAGGGAAACCAAATATATCATGGCAAAGCACCCTTTGAGATTTCCGTTTGCTCCATCACAAACAGCTGTAACAATAGCCACAATCACACATCATGCTCAACTGTGGGCTAGAGCAATATTCTCCAACCTTCACTGCTTAAACACTGCCCTTTCCAACTGTTCTGAAACTAAACAAAAGGAGGGACATTTAAAAAGAAAACTTGAAAAAATAAGAGGAAAACAAAAAGGAAGCCACTCTTTGATGGGTTGGAAGAATAGAGCAGCACCAGGGAAATGTTCCAAGGCACACAAAATGGAGCTGAAGGCCACATACTGCTCCCAGGTTGCTACTTGGTTTAGTGGGATGCAACATCACCACTGGGTGAAAAAAGGGATAGAGTTTGCTGCAGGGAAGGGAAGGGAGTAAATCTTTCCTCCCAACACTGTTTGTTCAGTTGCCTCCCTAAGTTCAGAGGATATGTTGGCTGGTAGGCCAACAGAGAATAGACCAAGAAGGGAGTTCATCACACAATCATAACGTGATGGCGACCAACATGGCTTGGATGGCTTTAAAAAAGAATGAAACAAATCCATGCAGGAGGTCTATCAATAGCTATGACCCATGGTAACTAAATGCAGCCTGTAGCTTGAGAGTCAGCCTACTACTCAATTGCTGGTTCCTATGGGGCAACAGTAGAGGGTAAGTCTATTGCATTTTTGCTCTGGGGTGCTCCAAAGGCACCTGGCTGCCGACAGTGGGAAAGAAGATGCAGGACTTAGATGAACTTTGATTTGATCCAGGAGGGCTAAAACAAAACTTATATTTGAATGCCTAGATCTGCTTGTGCTCATCCCTTGCCATGCTTGTTTCCTGCTGTCATTGGTCACTCAGGCAATAGAAAAGTAACGCTGTTAAGGCTGTCAGGGTAGGGATTTGCCCGTTTGCTAATGTCTGCAAAATGCTGTCTACACTGCTGCCACTATAGTACCTGGCAGCATGGATTGTCCAACTTCCAGCTGCCCCATTCCAGCCTCTCTCCCCCTCCTCCAAAGTTTTTACTGTGCACTTTTCTGGGATATCCTCCATCTTAAGTCCCTCCCCCTTAAGATTTCGTTTTTATACTTTTGCAAATCTCTAGGCTCTCTGAGCTCTCGCTATATCTCCCGCATATCTGTGCCCGATGCAGTTTTGGCTATATTTATTTATTTATTATTGCGTTTTTAGCTCTCCTTTCCTCCCCCCCTCCCCCCATTCAGGTGGCATGCATGGTTCTCTTCTGTTCATCATCAGTAGTTCCGCTGGAAGTGAAGTCATCTCTGTGCTTATTCGCCAAGGGCATGTTTGTGCAGAGAAAAGTGACCTGTTTAGTATTTATAGCTCTGTACACCTGCCTGCCATCTGTTCCTAGTCACGTCACCCACCCACCCCTTGGTACGGCACAGGAAGGGCCAATTGCAAAGCAGATGGCCAAGGAAGGCTCCTTGCTTCTCCCATTGGAGAGAACCAGCCAATGGTAGAAGAGAAAGAGTAGAACGCAGGGAACATCTGTGTTTGTTTGTGCCTGCGTGTGGGTGTGTGAGCAGGAAGGCTAAGGCCGCAAAAGAGAGAGGCAGGCCTGGAGAAAGAATAAATAAATCAAGGAAGACAAGCAGGAAGGAAGGCAGGCCACTCCCTCGCCTAGAAAGCTGTTGCATGAATTGCAATTCCCACTGCAAGCCCTTATGTAAGCCTGTAATCCTCTCTTTCCTCTGTAGGCAACTTAAAAAGCATACAAGAATACGGACGAGGCTGTAGCTTCAGCTTTCAGGGGCTGTTGAATGAAGCACACACAAGAGAATTGTCATCACTGCTGACTGGGGTGGGGCTCTTATCAGTGGGCCCCCTAGGGAGATGTGAGTCTTAATTGGGCCAGTCCTTTAATTGCTGGCCAGACCTGCTCACTGAGAGGGAGTGGGGGAATTTTATGTTAATATTGTTGTTTCTTACATTTTATATCCCACCTTTCCCCACCCCAAGGACTCAAGGTAGGGTACATAGATCCCCTCGCCCCATTTTATCTCACAGCAACAGATGATATAGGTAGGTTGAGAGACAGTTGCCAGCCCAGGATCACCCAATGAGCTTCATAGGCCACGTTGGGGATTTGAACCTTGGTTAACGAAGCCCTAGTCCAACACACTAACCTCTACACCACACATGATTCTGTTGCATCATCTGCAAATTTTATCCAGTTATGTCAAAAGGAAAATAAAAGTTATAGCTGCTTTTAAAATTATTTCACAATAATGGTGAATGGGGGAGACATGAAAGTAAGACCTGGGAGACCAAGGTTCAAATTCCAATTCAGCCATGAAGTCCCACTGGGTGACCCTGGAGCAGTCATTATTCTCAACCTAACCTACCTCACAGGGTTGTTGTGATGATAAAATAGAATGGGGGTGAAAGCGTGTAAGCTGCTTTGAGCTCCTCGGAGGCAAAACTGGTGCATAAATGCAATAAGAAAATAAAAATAAATAAATTTCAGTTTTCTTAACTTTCCAATTTCTCCAATCCCAAAGTAAGTTCTCCACAATCTGCAATTGTACACTGATTTCAGCAACTTGGAGGAAAATGTGGTATATAAATGTAAGAAAGGAATGAAAGAAATGAAAGAAATGATTTTTTTTTTCCTTTTCAAATTGAAATGCAAATCCAAATTGAACCAGGCAGATGTGCTTTGAAATGAAGTGGGGTGTTTTCCCCCTGACACACCAAATCTGTGCTGAAACTGAAAACTAGAAATGCACAGTCCTTTCTCAGTTGTTGGACATAATGAGCAGAGAATATCAAATAGAAAGGGAGCCCAGGTTCAGTTCCCCAACACCTCAAGTTCAAACAATCAGGTAGCAAGTGATGGGGAAGATTCGTGACTGGGAAGCTGGAGAGCCACTGCCTGTCAGAGGGTGACACTGGCGAGCTGGACAAACAGGCTGACCTTTTGCATGCAAGAGCAAGTTTGGCTCCCACACCCCCACTCGCCCCCCACCACTCTGTGGACTCACTTGAGACTCATAGGGCAGGAAAGCAATGTTGATCTCTGTCAGAGTCTTGATGACTTTCGCAGCACGGGACTTGACCAGCTCATTAAACAAGGAATCAGGGCAAGCTGGAAGAATGGAGTAAAAGTAGCCACTATAGTCAAACAGCCAACTCAAAACCATTTGGATGCCTCAGTGGGGGTATGAGGTGAGGAGCCAAATCAGGCCCACCCACACCATACAAATGGCCCACAGTGCCATTTTCTCAAAACCACAGGTGACACACCATCCATTGCTGCCTCCGAATCCCTACTTTCTATGTCACATTCCCATTAATTCACCACTGAAGCCACTGCTTTGTTTTGCTTTTCAGTCTTCTTTTTTCCACATAAGGAACAAGTCATCTTCTGCAGCATCCCTTGGTAGGATTTTTGCCAAGGTCATTTCAGATGCTGCAACTTGAGGAATTCCTCCCTTTTATGCAGAAGTTACAGATCAGCAGGTCCTTGCAGGAAACAGAGTGCACCCACCAATCAGCACTGCCTGGAGAACTTGCTTGAAGTAGAAATCTTTGGCCTGGGGAGCCAGAGGCAGCTGCCCAGCCCTCTCTTTCTGGCCCTCAGGACTGCCCACAGGCCACACACCCTCCCCTGCCATACTTTGAACCTTCCCTGAGTGATTTTACTTGATTGTAATAGGTCCTTGAACTCAGATCTTTCTTCATGCTTGCCTGAGGGAAAGGTTTGTGTGTGTAGAAACAAGCCTACTCAAGCAAATGTTATATTAGCATTACTTGGTCTACCCACTTTTGCGTCCAGCTCTGCCTACCATGCCTTGTGGCTCCCAGATGGTTGCATAGAATAGGGTTGCCATATCTTGATGAGCAAAAACAGAGGACAGCTTGAGCCACTGCCAACTTGAGCCACAGAAAGAGGCGCATGGGAGTGTGGGGCCACCACGCCATGCCCACGTGCCTCTTTCTCCGGCTTGGGCTAGCAGTGGCCGCAGTGTAGAGAGCCACCTGCAGCTGAGCCTGCTGCCAGGCTGCCCACACCCGCACCACCCATGCAAAAATAAAATAAAAACCCTGGACATTTCCTTTAAAATGTTAAAATTGAAACACCCTTTGAGAACCACTGGTGTAGGTAGGTTGTGCAGATTTTTAATCCACGTGTGTACTTATTTTGTTCACAAAAACAGTTTTCTGATGCTCTGGTACATATGCATGGAGTTTTGAGCATAATATATTCATATGTCCTATTTCCTCTAGTGTACAGTGTGAGCTTCATCTTGCATCATTTAAAATCTCAACACTGCCTATCAGTTAGCTTCTGTAAACTGCCATATTAATTGGCCTAACAGTGGAAATAATAACAAGGCTAAACAAAAAATGATACTGGAAGCAAATGCTGTTTCCATACACATGCAAAATGTAGTTCATAATACTGAACCAACTGTTGATTGGAGCTGTGTCTATGAAATTATGTAGACAATATTCTTGCAAACAGATTTGGGTCCATGTGTATTTTTCCTACCTATGATGCATCCTTTCTAGCTTAATTAAATTGGCTCATAAATTTTACCTGTGGTATTATTCTGTAACATTTAATCAATTCATTATTTGTTTAATCTGGAAACAGAAGACTAGGAGATATGGACCCACCAAGCTGAATAAATGTTTACATATTATTATTATTTTTAAAAATGTAACAATTCCCCCAGATGGTCCTGTTGATCCCCCAAAAGAGGACATGTCTGGGATTTCCCAGATGTATGGCAACCCTACATAGACAGCAGGGGGTGAAAGAAGTTCCCCATGCTTGGTTTGTAGCACCATACAGTGCAGTTCTTGAAACTTCCAGTTATAACCAGGAGGGGCAGAGAGAAATTCCCAGTATGCTTACAGTCAGTAAAGAAGACATGGGCAGCTCGATACTTGGCATTCGGTGGTTCCTTGAAATCACCAATGAGAGACTCAACAGACTAGGAGAAAGAAGAATAAGTAAAAACAATCAGTTTTAGATGCTTGCTAGTTCTGCTCAAAGTTCAAACCTTGGTTTGTATGAAAACAATTTTTCCCAAGTTAGTTTGCTTGGTGAGCCCCCTTTATAAAGTCATTCTCCTGACTCCCTGATCCTGCCCCACTGACCACTATTATAACAAGGCTTGACTTGCTTAAAATGAGGTTGGGAAGTTCTGTCTTTGGATAGGAGAATTGGCCAATACAGTTTTGTCCCAAAATACAACCCTACTGGTTTCATTTGAAATATTAGTACATCCATATCCCACCTTTTCTTCAAGGAGTTCAAGGTGGCATACTTTATTCTTGCTCCTCTCCATTTTATTCTTGCAACAACCCTCTAAGGTAAGCTAGGCTGAGAGAGAGATACCCAGTGGGCTTCATATGGCTGAGTGGCGATTCGAACCCTGGGCCCCCAGATTCTAGTTCAACATTCTCACCCCCTCACTGCACCAGCTCTATTTAAGTCATTCCTTGAATGGCCATCACCCGAAGAGTCCAGGGTAGAGTACAAAACTGTGAGGACAATTCACATGACATGCAATATATTTAAACAAACAGCGTAATATAGAGAACAAATTAGGGTAAAAAAACATTTCTGACTAGAAGTCTGTCTAAATGAAGGAAGTCTTGACCAGGCACCAAAAAATATTGCAGCATTCGTGCCAGATGTGTCTTCTTAGGGCGGGCATTCCAGAATAACCAACCCCCTTAGCCATTTCAGAGGCATGCTACCTCATAAGAAAAGCCATACTGGATCAGGTGAATGACCCATCTAGCTCTGCATCTTCTTCTTATAGCGGCAAATCAGATGCCCCAAATGGTATTAGGATATTGATGTTCCATTCCACCTTTAGAACAGGCATGTGGAATTGTTTTATGTCACATGTCTGTTTACTTCCAGCACAGCCTGATGGGAACTTCCGTTGTGTATAGCTTTTGCTTATGTTTCCTGCTCTTGGACATGAAAGAGAGCAGATATGTTTTCTTTGTCCTGAACTATGCTGAATAAACTGCTTGTAAATATGCTTTACATATGCCTCTGTCCGCCACTTCTGTTGTGTGTTATTCACTCTGCTGATTAAGGTGTGTTCAAGCTTCTGAAGGCTTCTGAAGCTGTGTGCCGCTGTTTTGATGCTGTTCCAAAGACCGGAGTTCACCCGGCTGCCGGCCGGTGGGCTGGAGCCAGCTGGGGGCCTGCGACATGCCCCCGTTCCCTTGGACACATCCCAATAATGGGAAGCAGGCAAGCAGAACCTGAGCACAGCAATGTCCAAGGAAGTAGGATTCAGAGGCATTCTGCTTCTGACAATGGAGGAAGAACATAAGCCATCACAGCCAGTAGCCATTGATAGCCTTGCCCTCCATGAATTTGTCTAATCCTCTTTTAAAGCCATTCAAGTTTATGGCCATCACTACCTCTTGCAGGAGCGAGTTCCACAGTTTAAGTATGCACAGTGTAATAATGAAACACTTGATTTCTCCAACATTCAGCTTCACTGGATGTCCTTGAGTTTTAGAGTTATGCAAGAGCGAGAGAGAGAAACTTTCCTCTCTCCACTTTCTCCACACCATGCAGAATTTTATACACTTCTATCATGCTTACTTTCTCTGATGGGGTGATGAGGTACACAGCCTCCAGGCTGGGCAGTGGCTCCCGGCGCTTGTTGATGTCTTCCACAACTGCAAAAGGCAACGCAACAGAGATTTTCATCAGGGAGGAAAATATGGCAGATTCAAGGTGGTTACCAAGTCCTGCAACTAGTTATTGCTCTATTCTCAGAGATCAATAGCCTACAATTCAATCAGTCCATGTGAGAAGTTAGCTTCCCCCTTGGAATACCAACAACAACAACACAGCCAATACTCAAAATAAAATGGACTTGGGTGGCTGTTGTGCTTCTGACTTACTAAATGAAGCCACCACCCAGGTACACAAGTAGTGATGTATTCAGGCCCTAAGATGTGGAAGAGTGAGGCAGCTGCCTCAGGCAGCAGATGCTGAGATGGGGGAAGGGCCAGAGCTATGAGTGTCATGTGCCCTGCCCCCCCCCACTAACCTGCTGCCCACTAGTGAAGTGAAATACATTGTTCTTTCACTAGTATTGGTATAAGTTTCAACTACCAGTCCAATTGGCCTCAGTATGAATGAGGAGCTATTTAACCATTGTATGCTCCAGAACTAAACATTTAGGAATGCTGAAAACACCTCAGTTTCAAGAGAACAGGGCTTCACATACAATGAAACTTCACGGAAACACAGCTTAAGTCCAAAAGAAGATGTTTGATAACTGCCTCTGAGAGGAGATTGGCACCCATGGCACTTGCTCAGAAATCCAAGTTTGACCCATGGGCTGCCTGTGTTTTTGTCATTGATGTTTTGTAATATGTTTCTACACCACCCTGAGAGCTTTTGATAAGAGGAAGTATATAAATTGAAATCATCATCCTGGCAACCCATATGCCAGGCAAACTAGGTGGTATCCAGGTTTGGTTCTATCCAGACAATGAGGGTGAGGTGGCTGGAGAAAGGGGGTGGGGGAGGTCCTGAACAATGCACTCACTTGTTATGCCCTCAGTCATGATATCAGTCATTTTGCAGCAGGAAGAAAGCATACGCATACTCAGCTGATCCACCACCAGCACCTGGGAGAGAAGGAGAAAGAAGTCATGCAAAAGTTGCCACAGACTTGGCTTGGGGTTGAACTAAAACTGTCCTGCATATGAGCTTCTTCTTCCCCATTATCATCACCATCACCATCATCATCATCATCATCACTTACCTGCCCTTCACCATAAGGTCCTAGAGTGGGGTAACAGCAATTTAAAGACACAATCAAAATCAGTTTAAAGTGAATTACAGTCGAGAGAATATGGTGGATCCAAAAATATGTATCTCATGTGCCCAAGGTTCAGGTAAAAAGGCTAGTCTTCAGCTTACAACAGTTAACTGTAGCTAACTGTAGTTAAAACAAACAAGGCACATGTAACTTCCACATGTCTGGACAGGCTTGCCTAAATGTTCTAAGCAGGCACTGAGATACAGTGAAGGCACCTGCCTCATGTCAACAGACAGGGAGCTCCAAAGTGTAGGCAGTGTCACACAAAAGACTGTTTTCTTACAAGTGCGGAATGAGGGTCATGTGGTGTCTGTAAGAGTGACAGTTCCTCAGATCAAGGCGGTTGAGCAGGAATGTGTGTTGGGTAAGGTGATCCTGCAGATAAACTGGTCCCAAGCAGAGGTGTTATATGCTAGCAGGGTCTCACTCCTGTAAGCAATCACACTGCAGCATTTTGCACTAGTTGTAGATTCTGCACTGCAGTAATCCAACCCTGAAGTCACCAGTGACTGAACTACGGTGGTCAAGCTCTCCAGGTTCAGAGGAACAGTTGCAGCTATTGCACCCAGTTGCAGCTGGAAAAGGCATCTCTAGTCACTGAGGCTATCTGGGCTTGCAGTGACAAATCTGGATGTAGAAGAACCCCCAAACTGCGTACCTGCTCCTTCAGGAGGAGTACAATACTATTCAAAGCAGACAACTGACTCATACTTGGTAAGCATTCATCCACGGTGCCTCCACCTTACTAGGATTTAACCCAATTTCCTTACCTCATCCATCCCACCAGTGCATTCAGGCACCAGTCCAGGGCCCCATAAAGGTAAAGGTAAAGGTACCCCTGCCCATACGGGCCAGTCTTGACAGACTCTAGGGTTGTGCGCCCATCTCACTCAAGAGGCCGGGGGCCAGCGCTGTCCAGAGACACTTCCGGGTCACGTGGCCAGCGTGACAAGCTGCATCTGGTGAGCCAGCGCAGCACACGGAAACACCGTTTACCTTCTCGCCAGTAAGCGGTCCCTATTTATCTACTTGCACCCGGGGGTGCTTTCAAACTGCTAGGTTGGCAGGCGCTGGGACCGAGCAGCGGGAGCGCACCCCGCCGCGGGGATTCGAACCGCCGACCTTTCAATCGGCAAGCCCTAGGCGCTGAGGCTTTTACCCACAGCGCCATAGACTCTCCTTATTCAGAGGTTTAGATAGAAACAGAGGTGAGTGTGATAACAATACTGATGGCATCTTGCTTCCAAATTACTTAAGGACCGCTTCTAGTGGCTTCAGGTATTAGTCACCCCATAGCAGAACCAGTGAAAAACACTCTCCCAGTGTTACTCTCTGAACTCAGACCCACAGGTAGGACCAAAACTGTTGTAACACAGTGCCTCCAATTCCCATTCCATGGAGCTGGTTCAGAGGATGCCATGGTCAACAGCAATGAGTGATCGAGAAGCAGGAGCAAGGTCACACTCCTTTTGTCTCATTGTCTGTAAAAGTCATCCATTACAGTGACCAAGGACAACTCAACCCAGACTGGAATGGACTGGAGTGTCATCCAAGAATGCTTGCAGCTGCCCCACTGCAACTCTCTCCACCACCTTTCCCAAGAAGGGAGAATTTGTGACTCGTGGATTCCAGTCCAACGGTTCCAAAGTTGCTTTTCTTAGGAGAGACCACACCACCACTTCTTTCAAGGTAGCAGTCACCACTCCCTCATGCAAGGAAGTATGTGTACCACACTCTGGACCCAACCAATCTCTATTAGATTTAGTCTTCCAGGAGGGACAGGGTCAAGAGGGCATGTAGTCGGGCGTACAGCTGCAAGCACCTTGTCCACATCAGCTTTCTGCATTGGCTGAAACTGATCCCACAACACATCACCTACTATGGCACAGGATGCTTCATCTGGAACAGCAGTAACTGCTGAGTTGAGGGTTCCAGTGGAACTCACATGAGCCCAGTTTTGAAAGACCATCTCCATCCCTCCTGACCTTCTCAGGTGTTAAGATCTGTGTGCAGCTCTCTAGGTAGGTCTGCCAACCTCAGAGGTGCAGAGAATGGTGGCCCAGGAGGAAGAGGACTTATGGGCAACAGCCCCTAAATTGTGGAACTCCCTCACCACAGAGATGCACCTGGCATTTTCCCTGTACAGCTTTCCCTGTATGTTAAAATGCACCTCATTACCACGGTCTTTGCTGTGGTATTTGTTTTGTGGGACCCACCTCTGCTGCTGAAGTTGTATTCTTCTGTTCCACTTGGAATGGTTTCAGTTGTTTTATAGTTAAACCGGTTTTATCTGTATGCTGCATTATTATTCTTTATTTCATTTATGAATTGCTTCTTCTGAGGCATCTCAAAATGTTTTACAATGCAATAAAAACATATATGAAGCAAAGGCACACAAAAAAGTCTGAATAATTGAAGATATAATAAAGATTTAATTTATATTTTTAAAAGTACTTATAACCAATCCACAGACCTTATGGTGAAGGACAGGTAGGAAATCTCAATAAACAAATAAATAAATAAAATTGAAGAGGTTTCTCTGGATGCAAAATCCTGAATCATATCTTGGGCTTCTGTGACAAATGCTACAAAACATGCACACCCTGAGCCTACCAAGACGTCACAGTGAACTAATCCTTCTCTGGAAAAGTGGGACAAGGCAGCAGATGGCTAGCTGGAATTGGTTATAACTGTGTACATACACACATAAGCACACTAATTTCTACTAACTCACAATCTGTCAAGATCAAGCCTCTCACCTTCCATTCCCCCTTCTTCTTCACCTTTTTGATCACATCAGCCATAATTTCTAGAAGGAAGGAAGAAAGAAAGAAAACAAGATCAGAAAATAGAAGTGTTATGCTACACACTGCCCCAAGGTCCTATGGCTGAGATCGTCTCCTTTTCTACCACCTTAGAATGTCTCACTGAGAAAGGCTTACTCTGTTATTTACCATGTTTTCTATTTTTACTACACAAGCATCAATAGCTATGAGCCATGACAGCCATGTTCTACCTCCACTGCAGGAGGCAGTATGCCTCTGAATACCAGTTGCTAGGAATCATAAGCAGGAATGGTGCTGTTGCATTTAGGTCTTGGAGGCATCTGGCTGGCGTCCATGAGAATAGGATGCTGAACTAGATGAACCACTGGCCTGATGCAGCAGCCAGGCTCCTATGTTCTGCCTTCTTTGATGGAGGGAATACTCATCTGGAAATCTCAGGTGGGAAGAGTACTACTGTGCTTGTTGGCCCTTGTGTTGGACTAGATGGGTCACTGAGCAGGCTCTTCCTATGTTCAACTGACACTCTGCCTTCTCCCTGCCCTTAAATTTTTATTTTTGTAATGAGAAGAAAGGTAACAGCACCAAGGAGGCAAAAGTGAAAATGATAGGGAGGAGTAAGAGGATTCCCTCCTCCAAAGTACCTCCCCTCCCTATATCTGGATTCTAAGACACTCTTCCCAACAAATGCACTATTGAGTGTTGAGCTTACCCTTCCATGATTAGGAACACAGAAAGCTGCCTTATAATGAGTCAATCAGGCCATTGGTTTATCTAGCTCAGGGGTAGGTAACCTAAAGCCCATGGGCCAGATGCAGCCCAATCGCCTTCTCAATCCAGCCTGTGGATGGTCTGGGAATCAGCGTGTTTTTACATGAGTAGAATGTGTCCTTTTATTTAAAATGCATCTCTGGGTTATTTGTGGGGCATAGGGATTCGTTCATTTCCCCCCAAAAAATATAGTCTGGCCCACCACATGGTCTGAGGGATGGTGGACTGGCCCACAGCTGAAAAAGGTTGCTGACCCCTGATCTAGCTCAGTATTGTCTACAGAGGTTGGATGCAGCTCTCCAGGGTTTCAACCAGGAGACACTCCCAGCCCTACCTGGAGATGCCAGGGGTGGAATCTGGGACCTTTTACTTGTAAGGCAGGTGCAGGTGATCTACCACTGAGCTATGCCCCGTCCCCAATTGCAACTGTGGTGGCTAGGGTCATCTCCAGATTGAATCTCTCCTGCAAAATATCAGAATTTTATGTTTGCCCCTTCCCCCATAAAAATCAATAAAAATACTTAGGTAACTGAGGTTCTGGCTCCCCTAACAAAAATCCTGGCTACACCCCTGGGAGAAAGCAACACGTCAAAGAAAAACATTCCCTCCTACCCTTCTCTACCGACATTCTTAGAACAGGGAGAAGCAACTAAGAAATGAAGGAATTGAAACAACCAAACGAAAAACTGGAAAGTGTTCACAGTAGTGCACCTCAACATGCATAAAACCTCCTCTCTCACAGCACACACACACAGAGGCATCAGTCCCTCAATTCACTTGCCTTCTCTGCAAGGAGCTGATAATCTGACACACACAGAGAGAGACATCAGAACCTTATTTAGAAACAAGAAGCAAGCAGCTTGAGGTGATGCCTTGTAATCCCCAAGCTAAATCGCATTTGGCAACCCTTTTTATGTATGGTTTACACTAAGCGGAAGGGACGTCACACAGGACCCCCATATACACAAGTCACCCACCGTTTTCACCCTCTGCATGTGCTGAGATCTGGACAGTTGCTCCCAGAGACACAGGAAGCTGCCTTATACCAATCCAGACCATTTGTCTATGTAGCTCAGTATTGTCTACACCGACTGGCAGCAGCTCTCCAGGGTTTCTGGCAGCAGACACTCCCAGACCTACTTGGAGATGCCAGGGATTGAAGCTGAGACAATTGTCCATGCAAAGCAGGTACTCTGCCCCTGAGCTATAAGGTAAAGGTAAAGGTACCCCTGCCCGTACAGGCCAGTCTTGACAGACTCTAGGGTTGTGCGCCCATCTCACTCTAGAGGCCGGGGGCCAGCGCTGTCCGGAGACACTTCCGGGTCACGTGGCCAGTGTGACATCGCTGCTCTGGCAAGCCAGAGCCGCACACGGAAACGCCGTTTACCTTCCCGCTAGTAAGCGGTCCCTATTTATCTACTTGCACCCGGAGGTGCTTTCGAACTGCTAGGTTGGCAGGCGCTGGGACCGAGCAACGGGAGCGCACCCCGCTGCGGGGATTCGAACTGCCGACCTTTCGATCGGCAAGCCCTAGGCGCTGAGGCTTTTACCTACAGCGCCACCAGCTATGGCCCTTCTCTAATATAGCCCTACCCCTTCCTCCTGAAATACTGTATATAGATATAGATATATATATTGTTCTTGTAAGGATGATTTGAGTGGTAAGCAAACAGATGTTAGTCATCCACACAGAGTCTTCTGGAAAGACTCAGGCAGAGAGTGATTGGTCATCCATATGGATTCTTCTGGAACACTGCTTGTTGAATAAACATACGCAAATTTATTGGTTGATAACATGATAGATAGATAAGGTAAGGATATGTATAACATTATAACATGCAGAGAATAATATGTGCAGAGAAATCAGAGAAAGAGAGGAGCTGAGGAGCTGAGAAGTCCCTGGTGGGAGGGGGGGAGGGAGGGATGGAAGGGGGGTGGGGGAAAAGGGGGGAAATAATGTATGTGAATATACGGTTTGATAATTTGTTATGTTGAAATTGCTTAATAAAAATATTTTTAAAAAGAAAACTGCTTGCAAAAATGTGCAAGTTAGAAATTTGCACTGAAACGTTGACTAACTTTCATGAACATATGCCATTAAAAAAAATAAATCACAAACTGTTGCAGAAATGTGGAAAACTGAACTTGAGAAACAGAGGGGGAACAAAATTGACAGGCCAATCCCTACCAAGAAAAGTGCACAGCAAATGTGCAGGAGTAAATACATTTTTTTCCATCTCACTTTTTAAAAAGCGAAGGTCTTTTTCTTTCAACAAATAGCTTATGAGACAAAAGGAGGAAACACACACATACACACACACTGCTGCACACACCCCTTTCTGCAGAAAGCATAGGGGAAGTTTCCAGAGTAACAAGGCATTGCAAACCTTCTGCTTACATAATCTGGCTCAGCAAAAAGAAAAACCAAGCCCTGTAGTTTGCACAGAATTATCTCCCCCACCCTATGATCTGCACCAAACCGCAGCCTATTGTCAGCTTCCCCTTTTCTAGGCATGGGCTGCACAGGCAACAGCAGCAGGACGGAAGAGGAGATCACACCACTTCGAGATTATAGGGGGGGGGCACAATTTTTGAACGACTCCTTCATTTTTGTTTTTAAATTCCCCTTATGAATAGAACACACTTCCAGCTTCAAACCCCTACAGCTGGGCATGGTACAGTCTTTTCTACCACTCTTGGACTCTACCACCTCATTTGTGCTGTGTGTATATTTTTAACCTCTAATTAAGCAAGGCAAGGGCAATATTTTTTAAAAAAAACAACAACACCACCATACACACAGGTTTACTTCTGCTTCAGCAGCTCCTGTTGTGTTTCAAGATGTACAAAAGTGAGAGGAACTACAGCTCTCCCAGTAATCTTCCTGGAGAGGGAAGAAGCCATAGCTGAGTGGTACAGAATCAGTTCCCTCTGCACATCAAGTTTCAAGTTCAGTTGCTGGCATCTAAAGTTGAAAGGCAGCAGGTGATGTGAAAGCCACGCCCAGTACCTTGGAGAGCAGCTGCCTTGTGATCTACTTTAAGAAGGGCCCCACTAGAGCAGGCCAGTAGCCCATTTAGTCCAACATCCTGTTCTCAAAGTAGCCAACCATAATGCCCCAAAGGGAAATCCACAAGTAGGACCCAGCACAGGAGCTCTCCCCACTTGTTATTCTTACCAACTGGTCTTAAGAGGCATACACCCCCTGCTATAGTGGATATTTAGGTAGAGCATATTCCTTCCTTCCGATAACAACAACATCCTTTATACCCTGCCCATCTGGCTGGGTTTCTCCAGCCACTCTGGGTGGCTTCCAGCAAAATATAAAAACATAATAAAACGTCAAACATTTAAAAACTTCCTAATAGAGGGCTGCCCTCAGATGTCTTCTAAAAGTTGTGTAGTCATTTATCTCCTTGACATCTGATGGGAGGGAGTGCACCACTGCTGATGAGGCCCTCTGCCTGGTTCTCCTAAGTTCACTTCTTGCAGTGAGGGAACCGCCAATTCCCATCCACCAAACCTCCTGGCAGTGATCAATACCTCCAAGGAATGACACTTTTAGCTCCCCTTAGGCAGCACAGAGCAGACCATACAAAGTGAGATCAAGCTTCGAGTTTCTTCAGCCAGATGACTTGTGCAAGCAAGCTAAGCCACAGGAAGGTGCCTTTGTTTTTTGTTTTTTCAAAAGTGTCATCTTAAGGACATAGAAGGAGTCTTGCTGGATCAGGCCAAAGGTTCAGCATCCTGCTCTCACAGTTGCCAGCCAGGCACCCCAGTGGGAAGCCCGAAAGCTGAACCAGTTTGCAACAGAAATTCCCTACTTGTGATTTCCCAGAACTGGTCTTCAGAGGCATATACTGCCTGCAACAGTGCAGGAAGAACATATCCATCATATCTAATAGCCTGATCCTCCATTTGTCTAATGCTCTTTTGAAGCCCTATGAATCAGTGGCCACCTGCTATTTCTTGCAGGTGTATATTTCATTGTTTAACCATGTGAAAATAGAGGTCAGAGCTCTATTTCAAGGGCTGCCCGGTACAAGTCTGCTTTAGAGATTGTAAAAAGAACACTGAAAGAACTATGAGCACTTGGCCACCAGGCTGAGCAGGCACAGAGGTCCTGCCTTTCCATTTAAATTATAGCCACCATTTCTGAACTTGCCCATTTACATAGCAGTTAAAGGTTCTCTCTCTCCCTCCCTTAAATTTAAAGTTTTCTGCAGTTATTATTATTTATTTGGGTGATGGATGTGTTATTTTGGAGGTGTGTGAAGTGGCTAACCTCTCCATCCTTCTGCAGCAAAGCACAATTTGGCCCTCTCAGCCGTTTCTTGTGCCATGCTCTTGATCCTCAGAACTGCATTGCAGCATTGCTCAGGACACACATTCACACTCTCTCCCTCTCCTTCTCTCTGCTTTCAGCTCAGGAAATCTAATAAGAAGGAAAAGAGGGAAAGGAGGTTTCAAGGGGACACACAGAGGGGACATTTCTCTGGAAACTGGGTGTGTGGGGGCGCTTCCTTTAAAACAGTGTTTCCCAACCTTTTTTGGGCAAAGGCACACTTGTTTCATGAAAAAAATCTCGAGGCACACCACCATTAGAAAATGTTAAAAAATTTAACTCTGTGCCTATATTGACTACCGTATTTTTCGCCCCATAGGACGCACCGCCCCATAAGACGCACCTAATTTTTGGGGGGAGAATAAAGAAAAAAAAATTTTTCCCCTCCCCAGGCACGGGGCAGGCGTGGGGGAAGCACAAGCTTAC